GTTTTTAAAAATTTCTGAACAGGTGGGTAGAGACAGGCCCCCCCAAAAAAAAAAAAAAAAAAACCACAACCTCAAACCAAATAAACAAACCCAGGGATGCAAGAAAACCTTTAAAAAATGACATTTTATCTAGCACTGATTTATAAGAATAAGAGAAAGAATTCTTACTATCCAAAATTCTAAGTGATTTCATTAAATCTCTTATAACCTGACTCAAATCTCAAGGGCTCCTTTATTCACCTAGATTATTTTTGTCTTGTTAAGTATACCTCTGCAGGGCACAATCACATACAATCAATACGATTGGTAAATTACACAAGCTCTATCCCAAGCAAATATGCATCAATGTTAAAAAGTTATTATTATTTTTTTTAAAAAACAAAACAAAATAAAATCCACCCAAAAAGGTGATAATGACTGCAGAATGTCTCTGGGAGACTGGTATGAGCCTAAAGACCAATTGAGCAGAGAAAAAAGGGTTGCAGGGGGCAATGGGAAGAGACCACACACATCAAGAGGAATCTGACAACTGGAAAATGTTTTAAGTGGGTGAAAGGTTTTTGTTCATTATCTTAATTCACTTTTTCCATTGTTCATGTTCCCAAGTCATAGATTCATCATAAAGCTAATGAAGTCCATGACCAATAAATAAAATGAAAGAAAAAAATTTTTCTTCAAGTTCTATTCATTCCCAGAATGTGGGAAAAAGACAAAGGATGAAAAAGGGGTAAGTATGAACACGCAGGCAACATCTGAAAAAAGTAGTCTGAAGATAGTGATAGTGTTTCAATTGAACAGATAAAGGTAAATATTAGAGGCAAAAAAAGCTTAAAATGCCTTTAAATCAAAGGAATATTTTATGGGCTAATTCAGATATTATTGTGAGAAAGGCAACCAATAATGAAGAGAGGTAACACTAAGCATTTTTAATTTTTTAAAAACCCAGGCCAAAAAAAAAAAAAAAAAAAAAAGCAACCATCCAACCAATTATCAACCCACTATTTGTTCCCACCCTTTTTTGACCCTCTCACATGCCCCACCTGACAGTTTCCAGTTATAAGACAACTCTGAGTGTACAACCTAAAACGGATGCCAAAGACTTGTGAGCTGTCTGCTTAGAGTTAAAAAACAAAAACAAAAACAAAAACAAGAACACAAAACCAAAGAAAAGCCAGAGACAGTGGAATTTCAATAGAAGAAAACAAGTCACGTTATCTAGTATATAATAAACATACATTAGGATAACAAACTCCACAGGATTTTATTTCTCTAAACACACATTTTAGACACAATATTGTCTACAGGTTTAAGTTTTCCACCTTGGGTTGTTGTGCCTTAATTTCTAGTGAAAATAAATATTACTTTAGGGATGTTTTGCTCAGGACAAAATTTAGGGGAAATTCAGTGTTTGGCTGAAAACTCTGAGGCTCTGAAAACCAGGGTTCCAGTAGTGAGGTAACCCTGCGACCACACATGGTTGCAAAGGGCTCTGGACCCACTCTGCTCAGTGCAGTATTGAAAACCCACCTATTGGGAACATTACTGATTAATAAAAGGTGTCACTTATTCCTGGTGTTGGCAGTTTCTTATTCTTAATTAACATTATAGCTAGTATTACTTATTAATTAGAATTTACTGTGAAAAGACTTTTAGCAATCACAAAAACAAAAATCTTAAAATTTCAAATCTTAAGTTATTTACTCTAGTAAATAGTACCTTTTGACAAAACAGCTTTAAGTGGCTCAGAAAAGTGGAATTGAGAATTTAAAAAAAATTAACTGCAATTCATCTACAATTCCCAATAAGTCATTTCAGCAGAAAAATTTCATAAAGCTGAGTTGAAGCAACAATAAATATAAAAATAAAAGCTGTCCAAGGTAGAAATGTAGATGTGGATCAGCCAGAGGGCATGAGGGACAATGATACCAGCAGTAGACAGTTTGTCTGTTTAGTCCCCAAAGCTGAATACAATCTGTTTTTAATTTGGCAGCTCTGATTTTAACTTCCAGGGGAAGAGATCACTTTACAACACTGTAACCATGTATCATCAATTAAAATTTTAATGAACTAGGACTATTTTTAAGGTAAAGGTTTAAGTGAACACTGCAGTTAATTTTCAGACAAGTTATTAATTTCTTCTAAAAGTAACTGGGCCATTTCTCCTAATGAAATATCATTATAGGTGGTTTTTACAGATATCTATGAAGCCTTTACTCAGTTCTTTAAAATGAAAAAAAGTGGAAAAAAGATAGCGAGACTTCCATCCACCACCATGGGTGTATACATATATATATATATATATATATATATATTTTATATATATGTAAAAGGAAATGAATCCTCTTTAGTGAAAAGAATTTTATTTTTCTCTGAATCTGACTACAATTAATTATTTCTCACTAGCCAGATACTCAGGAAGATTACCCAGTTCCATGACCTGACCATCCTGAGAGTGTATCATCCTTCAGGCTCAAGTGAAAAAACAAAACCATGGGAGATGCTATTATAAGAAGATAGTCTCAAAAAAGGCAGGTGGTTGCTTACTCAATATTGTAAAAGAAGACATTCACTGGTTTAGAAAAAATGATGAATTTCCATTACTTTTTACATTTTATAAGGCCAGCTAACTTTAACAGTTAACTTTAGATAAATCTACACAGTACAGTCAATTCACAAATACTAAAAGGTTTCACAATCAAAATGGCTACTACATCCCCCCAAACCAAAACAGTAAAGCACAAGTCTTTGGCTCTCCCTTAAAGAAAACAGCAGGTTACCATTCTTAACCAGACCTCTGTTTGCCTACCAGTAGGGCAAATACCACATTTGTGCATCACTGAGTAATAACACCATTAGAAAAGGCAACTTCACAGAAGTTATTGGCTAAGCGAATTCATTTGAATGCTCTGTTTTGAGGCAGCAAACTGTCACTGTTACAGATTGGGAAGGGCAGTGGGTAAGTCAAGGGGAAACTGCAGAATGGAAAAGGGTCAGGGGAAAAAAACAAAACGTTCATGGGAAAACTTAGGAATTAAATTTTGAGCTCCAACAATGGGGACCCATGCAAAAATCTGATGGAGTTACATACTCAAAGTAGCAAATAAGAATCATATCAATTTGTTATCTTTCAGGCAAACGAATAAATACATGGAAAAGTAGGAAAAGGGAAGGGAAATAAGATGGGAGAAGGGAATCACCCACATTAATGCTGTACCAAACCAATTTCTATACATTCTGAGTAGTTGACATTAAGAATAGTGTCATTATCATTTGAGTAATATTACTACTAGGAACTTATTCTATAACTAACTTCTTCTCAATTAGAAAATAAAGAATAGATCTTTGGTCACTTTAGGCTCTGTACATTAGCCAAAAAAGGGCATCTATTAGACTTACCTTTTGACAATATCTATAAATTAAAAAAAAAAAAAAATTACATGTAAGACAGGAAACTGAGCCTGGACATCTTATTCTCAATTCTTCTACACTTTTCCAGAAACCCCTTGAAAAAATAATCCAAAACACTTTTTCTATTCATCTTTATAATAAAATCTAACTTTGTTATCTAAACAAGAGTGAACACAATGCTCATTACTCCTATCTTAACCCTTTCAGAACTGTTGATGGAGTTCATTTGAGATTTCCAAGACTTGCTTTTGAAAAGCACAAGATCATCTCCAGAAGAAACTAATTTTTAAAAGGAAGCACAAAAAACTATATTTCCTACCTGATTGGTTTCACTTCTAATGTCTCTAAAGGCACAAATAAATTTAAAAAGCCAGGAAAAAAAAAATCAATGCTTTCCAGATTTTGATAAAAAAGCAGTTACAGAGTCAAGTGGTTATGCCCTAATAGGCCATTTACCTTTACTGGCTCCTCATAACACAAAGTATATCCAAGAGAAAAACAACAACAAAATGTTCCTCCCCCAAGTTTAGGGGTTTTAATAAATTCCCAAACCTGTTGGAGGGCACTAGGAAAGCTGTTACAGTTTCCAGCAGGTAAGGGAGAATGGCTAATTTAAAACAGCTGAACAAGAAGATGGTCTACATTCTGCTTTTCTATCCAAACAGACTGCCTCTAGAGTGTGGGGACAGGAAGGGCTATAGCTAGAATTCATGCCAGAAAAGACTTTTTTTTTTTTTGCCCCCAAATGAAAATACATTTAAAAAAAGGCATTAGTGTATATGGAGAAAATAAGAACAAGAATGAAAGAATTTGAGTTACTAGGGGAATGGAACTACTTTACTTTTATTCCTAACCTCAACAAAAATCATTACCCATAAATTCTTTTCTAATAGCAGAATCATTCCAACTTCCAAAATAAACCAACTGCTTCTAAAACTTAGGAATTATCTGACATGTCCAAAGGAGAAATAAGATAGGTCCAAATTTGCCTACAGAAGGTTGGAGGCAAATAATGTTGGCTTTTATATAAAGAAATTAAAATTCTTAAGACTGTCAGACATAACAAAAGTTTCTTTCCTTCTCCCAATAAACAATAAGTACTTAAAGTGTAAATATAATAGGGTTTTTATTTTTAAAAAGGTCAAAAAAAGCAAATGTATGAATGTATTTTTTCAAAAAAAGGAAATGTATGTATCAACTGAAAAAATGCCTCACCTTCGTTCAGTGCTTCTACCTCCCAATCAGTCATTTTATCGCAACAGCTGCGCTCATGCGAAGAAATCCTTAAAACATACCCAATATATATACAGATATAGCTATGTATATATGTATATATATAATATATATATATATATATAAATTTTTATTTAAATAAAAAAGAAAGCTCGAATCCCAAGCCAAATGTGTATATCAAATCCTTGACCAGCCAGGTCTGTAGGGCATAATCAAATTCAATGTGAAATAGTATATAAACACGGTGCCTTGACTGGGCAAATTAAATAATCGCTACTCAAAAGAGTGTTCGGTTTGGACTCTCCTACTGGTAGGCAATGGCAGGACTGTATTACCCTTCCCACCCACCCCCATTTGTTTCAGTTAATAATATAATGGACACAGAGCTTAGACTGAGGCTGTTAGGACCTCAGCAGGAGTTAAGGGTTAAGAATATAAGAAACAAGAAAAATATAAACTTTTGCTTTTACCCAACCAAAGCAATGCAGTAACTTATTACATAACCAGTGCTTTCTGATTTAGTAGTATAATCCAAAAAGGGAAACTAAAAATATCAGGCAAACAGTGGACAGAGAGAGTGAAATAATCCCCACAAAACATGCTTTATAGGGGTTAAGTATAGACTCAGGGTATCAGAATATGTGCAGCAGAACTAAAAATTAAAAAAAAAAAAATTCTTCCTCTTTGCAAAATTTTCTTGAACAAAGTTTATAAAGGCTGGAATCCAAATCTATGAAAATTGATTTCAAAATATTTACTACTTATTTATGCTAATAATTTGGGATAGCAACCAGTGATCAATTCACAAACCAGCCTTAAGATTCAGGCAGTTTTATATCTGCCAAATCTTTCTTGAAATCCGAGGGCTCCAGTACACAGGGGTTTTATTTTATGCTTTTGTAAGTTTTGAGAGTAAAAGAAATAATGTGTCCATATTTCATTTACTGAAAAAAGGTGTCCCTGTTTAAAGTGTTAATTTTAAAACATGGATGATTGTCCTGTTTTTAAGCATTCTGATTTTAGCAAAGTTTAATAATAAAAAAAAAAAAAAAGCTTCAAATTTCCAACCATGAGCTCAATAGCTAATATACTAATTGTGTATTTTTAGTGCTAACAAATTACATTTCACTCTTAATCTTCATTTAAATCTCATCAAAAAGGACACACTGAATTGCCTTTCTGATTACATTAATAGAATGCAAAGGATCCTTAACAGGGAGCTAAAACATTAGCTGTTAATTCTCTTTCTTAAAAGTTGAAAATAAAACCCTTCTAAATGGTTGGTTAACAACAAAAGTTTTAATGTCATAGCAAAACATTTTTTTATCCATGAACCTAGTGATCCAAAAAGGAAAAAATTCTAAATAACAGGTCTGAGAAATTTAGTTTGCTGCACATTTTCTAGTAACTCAGTCTATTGTCTCTGTTTCTCAAGCACCACAGAATTCTAAGAAACACCAGTGCTTTTTGTCTGTTTTAGTTTAAGGAGTGGTGAGAGTTGGAAAGGACTGGAGGTAAGGAATTATACACTGGGTATGTAATAATACCAAAATACAAGAAAAACCTACTTCATTAAGATCATACAATTAATCAAACAGAGTGTATATATAATATCATCATCTTTTTTTAAAGCCCTGGATCCAAGGCGTCCAAAGTTATTAAAATAAAGTTCATTCACAGAACAAAAACAAATTTAATCTGAATTGCTTGCAGATACTGCTAATTTTCTTTTTCTTTAAATTAAAAAAAAAAAATGCGTTAACGTGAACTATGTGCAGGGTTTGTTTTTAGTAGTGGTGTTTGTGCACATTGCCTCTGGTGCTTTTCCTGGATTTCTCTGACCACTCTTAGAACACATTTAGAAGTCATCCATTCTTCTACCCAAATTGATTAGGAGCAGAAGAGAATATTAGGATTCCTCATGTTTTAGGGAGCAGAACTGGGAGTAACTCCGGATCTCTGGGAGTCATTGTTATCTCCTCCTCCCTCTGGGTCCTCTGATAGGTTCAGAGAGCTGGTCTTGTTTGACAGGAGGCTGATATTCTCTTGTGTCAAGGCTGATCCATTCGGTATATCACTGTTAACATTAAAAAAAAAAAAAAAAAAAAAGGAGTTACAATTTTTAAAAAGAGGAGGAAAAAAATCAATTATTTAGTAGAATAAAATCAACAGGGTCATCATTGAATACCATAGAAAAATATATAAATGGATTCCAAATTTTAATTTACAGCTCTTCATTCACGTTTTAATATAGGGTTGGCAAAATAAAAGTAGGTAGCTTCCTGATTGTAAATAAAGTTTCACTGGAATATAGCCTGCTCATGTATTTATGTATTGTCTGCTACTATTAAGAGCAGAGTTAGAAGATGCAACAAAAACTATAAAGCCCATACCTTAAAATTTTAACCAAATGGTCTTTTAGAAAAAGTGCTGACTTCTGATTTAGCGAGTTTACTAGTATAGATTATTTTTTTGCAGTGCTGAGGATCAAGCCCAAAGCAAGCACTAACTACTGGAATATATGCCTAGCCCTAGGAAATTCTTTTCAATCTAAGATAACACATGGATTTAAAATAGCCAAAAGCCAAGAATGAAAATAACAGGGTATTAGAAATTCTTGCTGTCATCAGAAGGTCAACTCAGGACTATGCACTCAAAAAGACTCAAAGTAGCCTAATAAAATAATTAAAGGTCTGCAATTAATTTCAACATTATTTATTGCAGGATTATTCAGGATAGTTGATATATATTTTCCATAGCTGTAACAGGATATGAATAGGACAGATCAATCAAAACCTAGAGGGCAGGGTTGTAGGTGGGTAGATTTGCAAAAACAACAGGCTAAACACTCCCAACACTTTAAAAGATAGGAAAAATTTTAACTCTGGGTGTTGGGATTACAAGTGATATATATTTAAAAAACAATTTTTTTTTTTTTTTTTCAGGACTGGGGACTGAACCCAGACCTCACACAAGCTAGGCAAGCACTAAGATACATTCTTTTTAAATTCTGAGACAGGATCTTGATACACTGCCCAGCTTGACCTCAAACTTGCAATGCTCCTATACCTTAGTCTCCTTAGTTACTGGGATTACAGAAGTGTACCACCATGTCCCACCACACAGGATTTTAAAATTTATCTTGGGGGCAGGGAATAGGAGGACAGTAGAATTAATCTGATATAACTTTCCTAGCCTTATATTTGAATACACGACCAGGATAACTGCATCATGTACAACCACAAGAATAGGATCCTAGTTAGAATAAGCTATACTCCATGTATGTTTTCATATGCCAAAATACACTCTACTGTCATGTATATCTAAAAAGAACAAATTTATAAAATAAAAAGTTATCTTGATTTAAAACTTTCAATTTCTTACATCTTTTTTAATAACATATTTAATGTAAGGAGTGGTGTTAAGGATGTAGCTTAGGGTTAAAGTGTGCAAATATTATGCATGAGGCTCTGGATTTAATCCGCGGCACCAAAAAACTAGAATATATTACTTTTATCATTTAAAAATAAGGCTATATTTAATATAAATTAAAATAAAGAAGATAACAAAGTAAGAAACTTTGTTAGGAATTAAAAGATAATTCAACCCCAAGTCTAAATTCTATAACTCCTAGATTAATATAAAAATATTCTGCTCTGAATATACATAAAATAATATTATTTAAAAAAAATCAAAACATTAGCTGGGCGTGGTGGCTCACGCCTGTAATCCCAGAGACCGAGGCAGGGTGATTGTGGGTTCAAAGCCAACCCCAGCAATTTATCGAGGCCCTAAGAAACTTGGCAAGACCCTGTCTCTAAATAAAATACAGAAAAAGAGCTGGGGACATGGCTCAGTGGTTAAACCAGGGGTGGTTTAATCCTTGGTGCCAAAAAACAAAAACAAAACAAAACAAAACTCTAAACAAACCAAAAGATTTTTTTATATATATTTTATTTTATTTGTTTTAGTTGTAGATGGACACACACTTATTTATTTTTATGTGGTGCTGAGGATCAAACCCAGGGCCTCGCATGTGCTAGGCGAGCACTCTACTGCTGAGCCACAACCCCAGCCCAAACCAAAAGATTTATAAAGGGTATTCTGGTATGACCACAAAACATAATATTTTCTTTTGGCCATATTGAGGATTGAACCCAGAGGTTCTATACCACTGAGATATATGCTCAGCCTTATTGGTTTTTTATTCTGAGTCAGGGCCTTGGCAAATTCCTCTTGCCTCAGCTTCCCAAGTAGCTGGGATTATAGGTGGCATTATTTTTCTTTTGTATATTTTTTTGTTTAATAAGACTATGAAAATGTCCCCTTCTTTACCTGAATGTCAATGTAAGGTCCTCAGCTGGAACCTTGTTTTGTGGTTCTGGTTGTCCATTTTCTGCTTGCTTACTTGTATTCAATTTGGTTTTCATGTCCAGAGAACACTGGTTCTCCTTTGAAAGAGAAGGAAATAAAAGCCAGTTATCTTGTATTTAATGGTGCTAATGGGAAAGATTAATACAGATGATACAAACTGATGATCCAGAAATTACATTTTTTAAAAAATATTTTTTAGTTGTTGATGGACCTTTATTTTATTTATTTGTATGTGGTGCTGAGAATCGAACCCAGTGCCTCACGTATGCTAGGCAAGCACTCTACCACTGAGCCACAACCCCAGCCCCTACATTTAGTTTTATGAAAGAACAAGGAAACAGGCAAACTAGAAGAAAAACACACACAAAAGTGTAATGGGTACAACCCACCTGTTTGCTATGGATTTAATCCCTGGCACCAAAAAACTAGAATATATTACTTTTATCATTTAAAACATAAGGCTATATTTAATATAAATTAAAACAAAGAGAAGAAGACAACACAGTAAAAAACTTTGTTAGGAATTAATGCTTGGCCATAGGGGAAAATGCATCAAAACTAACATGGAAAAGACACATGAGAACTGCATCTCACTCACAAAAATAGGTCATCAATAACTTAAAAGGCTGGGGGCTGGAGCTGTAGCTCAGTGGAAGAGTGCCTGCCTTGCACATGTGAAGCACTGGGTTCGATCCTCAGCACAACATAAAAACAAAATAGGGGTATTGTGTACAACTACAACTAAAAAAAATAAATACTTAAAAAAAAATAACTCAAAGGCTATCAAAACTAGAATGTTACTTGGTAAATATATCTTTATATAACATAATGCAAAATAGTAAACATCATCTCATCTCCTTCCCTATTGATATTTTAAACAGAAATTTAAGAATTCCTAATTAATCACCATGTTTTCCCTAAAGAATCCTACAACAAAGAATACATCCAAACCAAATGAGAGTAAGGAGAGGAAGGATCCAACATAGGCAGAAGCTCATCTTCATGAGAATTATTCTACTCATTAGAATGCCTTAGACGAGCTCCAGATGATTCAAGAACTCTACAGTCATGTGACACACCACACAGGTTTCACTTCACTTTCCCTCTTCTTTCTCATCATAACACTCACCATACTTAGTTCCCGGGTTCTCTTCCCAATTTCCCTTTCCACTTGATGCAGTTCCAAGCTCAACTGCTCACTTGAGATCATTCCAGGCCACTTTGGAGGAGGCGGCGGCGGCTGTGGCTGTCCCGCCAAGGTGTTTGCTTCCCTCTGCAACACCAGCCTGTTACTAACGGCCTAGTGTATAAAGCCAAGAACATACATATGTCAACACACTTTCACCATGCACAGAATAATTAGGTCCATTTTCAGACCACAGCTATTTAACCTTACCACCCAGGTATTTGCAATAAAAATGATGCAACATAAAGTGCAAGTACCATGTAAATTGAAAAAAATAAAAGGTATTTAAATTAGATAAATAGTAATTTCATCTTAGACATAATATAAATTCTATTTTTTTGTGGTACTAGGGATTGAACCTAGGAGTGCTCTACCACTAAGCTATATCCCTACCTCTTTTTTATTTTTTGAGAGGTCTTGCTAAATTGCAGGGGCTGGCCTTGAACTTGGGATCCTTCTGCCTCAGCCTCCCAAGTCACTGGGAATACAGATGTTTGTCACCACACCTGGCTAAAAATTATTTTTTTAAATATTTATTTTTTAGTTGTAGATGGATACAATATATTGTTTTATATTGTGAGCCCACATCCCCAACCCTGTTTTGTATTTAATTTTGAGACAGGGTCCTACTGAGTTGCTTACAACCTCACCATTGCTGAGGCGAACTGTGAACTCACAATCCTCCTGACTTAGCTTCCTGAGCTGGTGGGATTACAGGTGTGTGCCACCGCCCAGCACTAGGCAAGTGCTCTACTACTGAGCCACACTCCAGCCCCATACTTTCTTATTTAAAAGAGAAGTCAACTATTAATGTGTATCTCCCCCTACCTTTTATGATTCTTTTTTTTTTTTTTTTTTTTTAAACAGCACTGGGGATTGAACTCAGTGTCTCACTCATGCTAAGCCAACACTCTAGCTATTAGCTATCCCCCAGTCTCACTAAATTGCCCAGGCTGGCCTCTATAATCTCCCAAGTAGCTGAGATTATAGGTGTGCAGCACCATGCCCAGCTTTCTTCTTTTACTGGTTGTTAATTTTCTCTAAGGTAAATTCTACAATCTTAATAAAACCTCAAGAACGGCAGCCAGGCACAATGGTGCATGTATATAATCCCAGTGATTCAAGAGGCCAAGGCAGGAGGATCATAAGTTTGAGGTCAGCCTTGGCAACTTAGTGAGACCATGTCCCAAAAATAAAATAAACAGGGTTACACAGTGGCAGTGTGCCCTTCAAGTTTAATCCCCAGTACTGCAAAACAAAACAAAGCAACAAAGCAAAGCAAAACCCTCAAAAATGACTAAGACTTTTAAGTATAAAAAGTTAAATATTCAGTAAGCTTCCAAATAATACTGATATTCTTCTTTTCTCTTTGTTTCAGTGCCGAATATAGAATCAGGGCCTTGTGCATGTTCAGCAGGAAATCTATTCTGAGCTATACCCCTAGACCCTAATATTCTTCTTTAAAAAAAATATTTATTTATTTATGTATCTTTAATTTTAGGTGGATACATTAGTTTGTTTTTATGTGGTGCCGAGGATCGAACCCAGTGCCTCATGTATGCTAGGCAAGTGCTCTACCATTGAGCCACCACCCCAGCCCCGTAATATTATTTTTTTTATTTTTGAGGGGTAGTGGGGATTGAACTCAGGGACACTCGACCACTGAGCCCACATCCCCAACCCTGTTTTGTATTTAATTTTGAGAAAGGGTCCTACTGAGTTGCTTACAACCTCACCATTGCTGAGGCAAACTTTGAACTCACAATCCTCCTGACTTAGCTTCCTGAGCTGGTGGGATTACAGGTGTGTGCCACCGCCCAAAGAGAGAGAGAGAGAGAATTTTAATATTTATTTTTAGTTTTCGGTGGACACAACATCTTTGTTTGTATGTGGTGCTGAGAATCAAACCCAGGCCGCACGCATGCCAGGCTAGCGCGCTACTGCTTGAGCCACATCCCCAGCCCCCCTAATATTCTTTTGATATAGAAAATGGCTCTAGAAACTCCAACAAGACAAAAAGCCATAAATTTGAGGATAAGGAGTACTGCACCCTGTGGGAACAAAGATCTGAATCTTTTAATGAAACTAAAGACCAACATAAGCAAACAGCATTTTGATTTTTGTTTTGTGGTTCTAGAGATCAAACTCAGGGCCTCCCAAATGGTAGGCAAGCACTGTACTACTGTACCATCAGCCCAGCCTTCTGTTTTTATGATAGGAAAATTTCACACAGTCAGAAGAGGGAGGCAATACCACCTGCCTACCATTTCAAGGATATTATGAGGGTCAAATAAGATATGTGGTAGTGGGCTGGGAGTGTAGCTCAGTGGTAATACCGTTGCTTACCTTGTGTGAGTATGTGAAGCCCTGTGCTGGGTCCTCAGCACTGGGGGGAATGTGTGATTATAATTTATAAACTGTAAATAACTATATAAATGAAACATGTTATATTCTTATATAGGAATTATAGGTTAAAGTTCTAAGTTTCTACCTTCTAAAGATTTATAAAAGCTGAGGATTAAATAAAATAAGAGAAATTTTAAAAATTTCTAAAGCTAAAAGTACTTGTTGATAAATAAACATTTACCTTAAACTTGTACCACCAGAGAATAAAAGCTCCTGCCGGGAAATTTAGATAAACTGTTTTCTCTTTGTAGGTGGCTCTTCTTATATTTCCTATTATCCCAGAATTAAACCTAGTACTGAATTCTTTGATGAATGGACAGCTATACCAATCCTTAAGGAAAAGACCTTAAAGTTTTATGTTCATAATACCTCAAAAGTTCCTCCATTTAAAATCTGAGAACACTGCAAAAATTGGAATGAAAAAGTATCTATACTTTCAGAGGCTAATACCTCTAATCCACGTAGCTGAGTCTGCTGGCTAATCTGATGGTTCAGTTGCTGCAATTCTAGTCGTAGCTGTTCTCTCTCAGCAGATGGAAGGGGTTTTCCATGACTGGCTACTTCTGGCATGGATACTCGCTCCCTTTTGTGGGAAAAGCATGAAATAAATTTTAGTTTTATTTTATGAAAATGCTACTTACTGAAAAAACAAAATAGGTTGAAAATTTAAAGATCTGTACAAGTAAAAAGTATGATTCATACCTCTCACTGAAGTGTCCCTGAGAAGTTACATTTTGATGAGGTGAATATGGAGAACCTCCCCAGCCACCGTGGGTTCCATATGGACTGTAATCTGTAAGTGAATGATTTATTGTAGTATGATGCAGATTTGATTCTTCTTCTAAAAAGTATAGACATATTCCCTATAAAGCTGTCTAAAAAGTCATCTACCAAAATGGTAAATAGGGTGTTGCTGTTTGTTTCTTTCCCATAGAACCTTCAGTTTTTATATTTTTTCTTCTGTTTAAATTATTACTATTTTGCTTTTTATTGGTGGATTACAGTTGTTTATAATAGTTGGTATAATTTTGATATAATCACATAAAAATTTGAAAATTACTGACTTAGAAAATTGTTGAAAGCACTGGCAGTAAACGGGGAAGAGGAGTTAAACTGGGAATCACGAATATTAATTTGGGTCAGCATACCTCTGAAGATTCTTACCAGAAATGTTAATAGATTTTGTGGGAGCTCCCTGAGGTGCCATAGCCTGCATTGGGCCAGCACCCTGATATAGCGTTTTGGAAGTTCGAGAGATGGCACCAAACCGAGATACTGTTGGTCGGTCTCCAAATGGGATGAGGTCATCATCACTGGTTTCTACTGCTCTTCTCTGAAGTTCCAATCGCTGGTCTCTCATTCCTTTACTTTCCACATTCTGATGAAAAAAGCAGAATGAGAAGTCTACCCCACACTTAGATCTCTAACATAATTTCTTCTCGTTCTGTAATAAGGTTGCATCATGCCCATATTGGTAAGACTGAAATCTTTAGTGTCTTATATAAAACACTGCCTTTTAGACCAATGACCACTCCTCATAGTCAAAAATATATTTTATATCATGACCAAGTATGCACACATACAAATATACTCTCACACAGATAGTTTTTGTGGTAGACTGAAATCAGGGCCTTAAACATACTAGTTAAATGCTCTACTAATGAGCTACACCATTAGCCCTTTTTATTTTTTTGAGACAGGGTCTTACTAAGTTGTTGAGGCTGGCCTTAAACTTGCAATTCTCCTGCCTCAGTCTCCCCACAGTGGCCAGGATTTACAGGCATATGCCACAGCACCTGATGGAAACATGTATTTATCCACATATATATGATGTATAATGTTATACATACAAATTGTATATATGGGGTGGTAGAGAGATATTAATTCCTAGGTAATGTGTATACAGATTAGTGTGTCTGAGAAACACTGAGCTAGAATTTTTGCGCCTCTGTGGGAGATTTTCGATTACATCTAGATTACACCTAGATTGTGTTAAGAACATTTTTATTCTTGACTGATTTAGGGGAAATTAGCTTTATTTTGATAGCATATATGGTACTTTTTTTTTTTTTTTAAGTCGTAGTTGGACACAATACCTTTATTTATTTATCTATTTTTATGTGGTGCTGAGGATCAAAACCAGGGTCTCACATGTGCTGGGGGAGTACATGTGCTAGCTGAGCCACAACCCCCCACCACATATGTACTTAAAAAAAATATTAAAATTTATTGGTAATACCTAAAATATCATATATAATAATATTAATACATGATATATGTTATAATATAGTATGCATGTACTTTTAATGTAATAATCCTTTCAGAAAGTACACCATGTCCAAAACAAGGGTTCCTGTTTAACTCCACCTCCTCATCTTATTCCAGTGAAAAGGCTTATTTATGGCCTAAATGCAATGTTTCCTGAATCATGCCACAGAAAAACACAAAGGCGTGTGTGTATGCGTGCGCATGTGCTAGGGATTAAACCCCGGGCCTCACAAGTGCTAGGGAAGTACCACAGCACTGAACTATATAAACCCAACACCTAAAGGCTTGTTTTTGCTTGTTGTCCTTTATATCCCTATCTCTGTTTTTTGGAAGCTGTCATTTATTTGTGTTTATACTACAGACATCAAACCATTTATTTATAGTGCTACCAGTGTATAAGTGATTACCATCTTTTTTTTTTTTTTTTTGCCCAGGGGTTGAACCCAGGGCACTCTACCACCAAGCTAATCTCAACCATTATAGACTTTTGAGACAAAGTCTTGCTAAGTTGCCCACGTTGGTTTCAAACTTGCAATGCTCCTGCCACAAACTCTGGAAAATTTCATTTCTTTAAAAAATAAAAAGGCAATTAAGATAAAACAGATAACTTAAGTATAATAAATTTCAATGTCAGAGCTCACTTGAAACTAAATCAGCTTTAATTCTGACTCAAATAAAACTCTTATTCACTAGATTCAACTTTGTTTTTTAGAGCTGTAAAAAAATTTTATTTGGTGAAGCCCAAAATCTTAATTACATAAAACAATTTAGCTTGGGTTCTAAATAATTGGTGGGAAATTACTACCTGCACAGAAATATAATAAATGTTCTTTTGTCTAGATAATAAATTTTTACTTTTACTTGAATGAAACAAAAGAACCATATAGTTTCAATGCAGTTCAACGGCAGAGAAGACTATCATCTGAAACTCTAAAGCAAAGCTCAATTATTTGTGTCTAGACTATAATGAGTAAAAATTTACTTGGTGTCTCTTGATTTGTATTAATTATGGCTTAGCCATTACACATACCATCATTTCCACACTCCCTGCTGCCACAACATCTTTGGGTTTTGCATCTTTGGTTCCAATGTAGGAGCCGATGGTGTCACATGACCAAGGAGAGTATTGGCTATAATCATTTCCTTTGTATTTCCCAGCTACCTTCAATTCTTCATCCAAAAACTATAGATGAAGAAAAACAAACAAACAAAACAAAACAAACAAATAAACAAACAAAAAAAAACAAACAGGAAATGGGTCTATGAGTAACAAGACAGAGAAAGCAAGGAATTTCTCAGAACATTAAACTGAAGCAATAAAGTGTTTTACTTTTAAAAAAATATTATTTTTTAGTTGTAGTTGAACACAATTACTTTATTTTTATGTAGTGCTGATGATCAAACCCAGGGCCCTGGACATGCTAGGCGAGCACTCCACTGCTGAGACACAACCCTAGCCTGTATATTTGACTTTTAAGTGTCAATTTTTATAGTTTATGAAACGAATAGCTTTAGTAAAGAATGGTGTTTTTAGCCATCACACTTTGTTATTGAGAGGTCAAAAAGAAGTATCTCAGTTTCCTACAAGGAATCAAGCCAGAATTTTACAGGTTTGCCCATCCTTTTCTTCATTACATTAGATGAAATCAACATTTAAGCAAATATGTATTAAGGCATGATTTTCCTAGATCCCCCTCAATGCTGTCTTTAATAACAGATAAACAAAAACATTAAATACAGTTTAAAGTGCAGTGGATGATGATGTAACAATTCGGTTTTTTTTTAAATATTTATTTTTTAGTTGTAACTGGACACATTATCTTATTTATTTATTTTTTTTTAATATTTATTATTATTATTTTTTTTACTTCTTGGCGGACACAACATCTTTGTTTGTATGTGGTGCTGAGGATCGAACCCGGGCCGCACGCATGCCATGCGAGCGCGCTACCGCTTGAGCCACATCCCCAGCCCCCTATCTTATTTATTTTATTTTTATGTGGTGCTGAGGATCGAACCCAGGGCCTTGCATGTGCTAGACGAGAGATCTACCACTGAGCCATAATCCCAGCCCCAGATGTAACAATTCTTTATTAAAATCTCTTTAACAGCAATAATTCCTATCTTGAATATCAATTCTGGTCCATAGGATGATTCAAGGATGTAAAAAGGATAATATGCATAATTTTTATCTTCTTAATGTAAGTTCTGCAATTATCTAGTAAGAGAATAGCTATTGTTATATTCACTTTTATGTAATATTTGGCATTTTCAAAGTGGTTTCCTGTACACTGTCTCATAAATTCTTCAAGTTCAATAGAGAAAAATGTAGATACAATCTAATCAAAGCTAAACCACAACAGAACAAGAACTTTAACATTGCTTTCACTTTATCACAAGAATATGTAGATCTACTGTTATCTATGGGCTGCTGGTACACTTAAGAGGATCTAAGTCATACTTAAGGATCTCTTCTGAGTCATAAGTATAGCCTTCTGCACTGAGCAAGGCTATGTGCTCATCAATACTCACTTCAACCACAATTTCTGTTTCTGTTGTTCAAAACATCTTTCCTTTTGATTGCCCTACCACTTTTTAAAAATTTCATCCCCTTTATATTTCCCCTTCATCTTCAAACTTCATGTATAACAGCTAGCTTTTAAAACATACTATCTACTAAAAAGCACACCCTTTTCACCCCAAATATAATGTGCTATGCAACTGTTAAAGGAATTGGATAAATTTTTATATATAAACATACAGAGTAACTAGTTAAGTAAAAATAAACTGTAAGCAAAAAAATGCAAAACAAAGGCATAAAATCTCAAAATGTATGATCAAATCATCCTAGTAGAAAATAATGTTAGTATAGGATCACAAAGAAAATGAAATACATAACAAATTAACAGTAGCTACAGAAAATAGGATTTTGGAAAATTATTTCTATGTTATGTATTTCTATAATGTTTGAATTTAGTACAACTATATGTAAGCTGTTTATAATAAAAATTGAAGCTTAAATATGTAGAGTTTTCTATGTCCTAAGATAGTTCTATATAAAGTTCTTTAACAGCAAGGCATTATTGTTAATTTTAATGAAAATTAAAATATAAAATAAACAGTTATTATTTACCAAATGTCCACTATGTGCTGTCTTTCAAAAAACATATATAACTATAAGCTTAAGTACTATGTATAAAACAACAAAACAAAACAAACAAACAAATAAGATCAATAAAGCAAAAAGCTAGGTTTTACAAATAAAATGAACAAATCCATAGCAAGACCAACCAAGAAAAAAATATACCAACAGCAGAAGTGGAAAAATAAGTATCACTACAGATCAGATAAACATTAAAAAGATGCAAGACAACATTCATTCACAATAACTATTAGCACTGTTTTGTAGAAATACAAAGAAGGTAAAATCCAAAGTTATGGTTTATTGTCCTATGGTACATTAATTAGTTTTTGATATTGTTTCAGTAGTGGGGACTGAACCCAGAGACACTCTACCACAGAGCTACCTCCCTGGCCCATTTTGAAAAAATGGGGTCTTCCCTAGGTTGCCAAGGATGGTCCTGACTTTGAGATCCTCTTGCCTCAGCCTCCCCGGCTGCTGGGATTTCAGGTTTATACTACCATGCCTACTACATTAACCAGCTTTTGGTTTGTTTGTTTGTTTTAAGCAGCTTTATTTTAGGGTTCTTGTTTTTTTCCAACTTTGACTACCTGTATTGCTTTTTTTTTTCTTTATTACCATCCTGTTAATTTTCTCATTACTAAGTTAAACACAAAAATTGTAAAACAATAAATGGAAACTTAATCTGATAAAGATCTCCTACCAAAAAACCTAGAGCAAACATAATAATGGTGAATTACTAAAAGCTTTACCTACTCAAAAATTACCAATGAGTAAAGAATACCGGCTATTATACTTCTATGTAACATTATTCTGGAGTATAAACAAGAGACAAAAGGAATACAAAGGAAACAGCTGGTAATTATTCAGAGGACATGACTATGTGCTCAGAAAACCCAAAAGAACCCACTAACAAATATTAGAATTAGTCAGGAAATTTAGCCTGCTAAAGAGCAGAATACACAAAAGTCTACTTAATTTCTCTATGTTAATAACAAATAGAATATAAAATTTCAGAAAGGATTCCATTTAAAGTAGTTCAGAAAAACATTAGTGCTGAGGGTGTGGCTCAGTGGTAGGGCACTTGCAAGACTCTCCATTGGATCATGGGGCGCGGGTGGGGGGTGGGGAATCACTTGTACAAATAGAGAGAGAGATCATGTTCATGGAAACTTGATTTCTAAAGATGTCACTTCTTTCAAAATTGATCTAAAACAACACTATTCTATAGAAATATATTTTACTCAAATACATAGTTTTAAATTTCTAGTAGACACATTAAAAAATAATTAAAAAAACAGTGAAATTAAATTTTTTGGGGTGGTATTGGAAAACAAACCCACAGCCTTGAACACACTAGACAAGAGCTCCACCAGTTAAAATTAATCTTCAAAAAAAAAAAAATTAGCGAGGGGGAGGGGTACAGGGAATTAAACCCAGAGGTGCTTGACCATATCCCCAGCCCCTATTGCCTTTTAATTTGAAATGGGTCTCACCAAGTTGCTGAGACTAAGCCTTGAACTTGTGATCCTCTCCTGCATCATTTTTCCCATTTGCTAGATGCCATTGCATTCATCAAAATTAATCTTAAAAATGCATTTCACAACTGGGCATGGTGGCACATGCCTGTAATCCCAGAGGCTCGGGAGGCTGAGGCCCTAAGAAACTCAGTGAGACCCTGTCTCTAAATACAATATAGAAAGGGCTGGGTATATGCCTCAGTGGTTAAGTGCCGGTGAGTTCAATCTTCGGTACAGAAATAAAAGAGAGACAGGCATTTCACTTAACCCAATATATCCAGATAGTAAAAAATAAAATATTTTTTTTGGTACTAAAAAATGTGCTTATAGCACATTTCAATTTGGATGAGTCTCCTCCTGCCTCTTTTTCTTGGCAGCTCTGGGGATTGAACCCAGGGCCTTATGTGGTAGGCAAGCACTCTACCACTGATATATACCTCCAGCCCCTGGACTAGCTACCACATGTTCCAGCACAGCTTCAGAGATTCAATGAATCTTAATCAAAACTGAAGCAAATATTTTTGTGAAATTATGTAAATTCCCCCTGACTCCCCAGTACTGGGAATTGAACCCAGGGGCACTTTATCACTGAATATACAATCCCAAGCCCTTTTAATTTTACACAGGGTCTCATCAAGTTGCTTGGGACCTTCCTGCCTCAGCCTCCTGGGCCAATGGATTACAGGTGTGCATGCTGCAACTGGCTAACATGATAAATAAAACTACATTAAAGGAATGTGGCTGGAGGTGATAGGGGTGGCAGATACATGGTATTGGTGTAAGACAATCAGATCAATGGTCACCTCATTATAACAAGGTAACTGCAGGACAAGGGGGAAAGGATGCTCATTTCATTAAATGGTACAGGATAAATGAGTTACCCTTAGAGAGAGACACACACACACACCACACACACACAAAAGTATCATGACCCCAACACAGTTTATATTAAAAAAATCGATTCTAAGGGCTGGGGTTGTAGTCAGTGGTTGAATGCTTGCCTTGCATGCATGAGGCACTGGGTTCAATACTCAGCACCACATAAAAACATAAATAAATAAAACAAAGATATTAAAAAAGAAAAAAAATGGATTCTAGATGGATTATACATCTAAGTATAAAATAAAATAATCTTTAGAAGAAAACAGCATATACCTTGATAACTCTAGGAATAGGTAGATAACCTTGGGAATATATAAAGATTATTTAAACAGGACACACACATACACACAAACTGATAAAGGAAAAATTAATAAAAAACGAAAAAGATGTGCTTACTTCCTCTTGATGGAATGTGGGAGGCAATGTTGGTGAAGGTGCAAAAGGAGGTGGAGAGATAACCTTTCTTTCCTCCAGTTGAGCCATAATTTCCTTTCGTCGGCGATGTAGCTCATCTAGACTAGGATGGGGCTGGGGAGGAGGAGGAGGAAGCCGGCTATATGGAGGCTCCTGAAAATGGAAAGAGTAGTTAAAATTAACAGAGAATTTCAGAACACATCAGTTTATTTAGTATATATTTAAAATTAGAAGCAGTCTGTATACACACTGTAAAATTCAGAAATACTGACTTATACTAAAGAAAAAGAAATGCACTAAAATGCTCAAGGTTTCCCAAAAGCTAAATTTAGGTTTATTTTTCTTGGCCAGAGACCATCATTTCCTAATAGAATCAAAATATTCATTCATTCATTCATTCATTCATTCATTCATTTATGGTACTGGAGATTGAACCTAAGGCCTTGCTTGCACTAGGCAAGCACTCTTAACACTGAGCTACATTTTCTAGTTTTATCTTGACACAGAGTCATACTAAGTTGCCTAGGTTGTACTCAAACTTTCAATCCTTCTGCCTCAGCCTTCTGAGCAACTAGGATTACAGGTATATACCTTCATGCTATCCAGGAATTATTAAGACCATCTAAATTCACAAACTAAGAATCATTAGTTGGGAGACCTCCCATTAATACTTTAAAAAAAAAAAAACCCTACTTGAATTATGAAAATAATTTTTAAAAGGAAAGAAACCTTCTTATACAAAATAAGTGATCAAATTCTATCAGCATAGCCAAGAAATTAATGAATTACTGCCAAAAATAAACTAAGTCTATGTAATGAGAAAAAAAAAATACACCATACTCTGGGATACGAAGGTCTGATCTGAGTAGGATGAGGGGCTACTGGATAGTAACCCTCCACTTGCTGGTATCTTTCTCTGGACTCTGGTACATATGATGGTACTGCAGCAGGTGGAATCTCAATGGGTATAGGGCTTTCTCGGAAAATTTCCTCTCTTGTATAAGACTGAGCAGGGTACACTCGACGGCCATCATAGTGAGGTGGGTACATAGGTGGGTACTGTTGTGGCTGTGCGCCATACTGAGAGTTCATAACACGATCTTGGAGGTAGGGTGGATAAGGATCCAAGTAGGGAGGACCAGGTTCAGGAGCAGATGGTGGAGGTCGAACAAAGCGGGATACACATGGTGGTGGGGTATAGTACATACCTGTATAATACAAAGAAAAGGAACCAAAGGCAACAATTTGCCAAACTATTTTCATTCATACACAAACACATATTTTAAATACTGAAACACTGAAGCATTAATAATTCACTTATTTCTTCAGAAGTTTTCCCTCCTGCTTACATTGTTAGGTTAGCTTTATGAGAATATGAAGCTAAAATTATCCTTAGGCCTAGCATGTGTGAGACCCTGGGTTTGATTCCTAGTACAAATAGCCCATGCACCTATAGCCACACAATTTAAATGTCACTGAAAAAAAAAAAAAACAAACTAAGCTATTTATAATCTACAATAGTAGACTGATTCTTACTGTTTGACCCTCTTTCTGGTGTTGTCTTAATGTAATACTGAAAATGGAAAACAAAAAGTTCCATTTTACAGAAATCCTTGAAATTCCATTTCTACTACAGATCTGAATATGAAACTGAATTTACTGGTAACATACAAAAAGTCCATTTTGCTGGTGCATATCTAGTAACTACTACTTAGTTCCAGAGTTGAGATAAAGCTGCAGTAGTAGGTTTTCAATTTCACTGTAGCAGTTAGAACAGAAGTTTTCCACTTCTGTATTTTCATTGTAAAAGATTCAATAAGCATCTAGTTCTGGGATTTATTCTTGGGAGACCTAGCTTAAGTCTGCTTCCCATAGTCCATGGATATCGTGGGCATTAAACTCCTGCACTAAGCCTCTTTCTACTTAATATACCTAGAATGACTTTTGTAATCTACAACTGGGTCCTGACTAGTACACAGTACATTTAAAGTTACACATTAGCCAGCTCAATAAAAATAGCTAGATTTTTCCTGGTCAAAAGAAAGATATCAATCAAGTTTTGTCATTTTTTTGTTAGTAATGTCATATCAATTAAAAATTATTCTCTTGAATGTACAGGAGGTGACATTTCTGATTCAAAATTAAAAGCCTTGAGAAAAGGAAACAAAAGACATCTTTATTGCCTATTTATTTATTTGGTACTGGGGATTGAGCCCAGGGTTGTTTTACCTATGGGCTACATCTCCAGAATTTTTTGTTTTTTTTTTTTAAATTTTCAGACAGGATCTCACTAAGTTGCTTAGGGCCTTGCTGAAGTGCTGAGGCTGGTCTCGAACTTGTGATCTCCTGTCTCAAGACTCCCAAGCTGCTGGGATTACAGGTATGCATACCTGGCCTCCATTTAACAAATAATAGCATTTCATTCTGTTGTATCTCTGACAGAGATACAACACTTCAATTTTAAAATCTTTCAGCATTTTATAATATACTGTAAATATTAAACTTTAGTCATCCCCTTTCTTCTCCATACCTTTACCTTTTTTTGGGGGGAGGGTACTAGGGTTGAACCCAGGAGTACCCTACCACAAATTATATCCCCAAACCTTTTTATTTTATTTTTTTTTAAATTTTTTTAGTTGTTGATGGACATTATTTTATTTTTATTCATTTATTGATATGTGGTGCTGAAAATCAAACCCAGTGCCTCACACATGTGAGGCAAGCATTCTACCACTGAGCTACAACCCCAGACCCCTTTTTATTTTAAGTTGCCCAGGCTGGCCACAAACGTGTGATCCTCCTAACTCAGCCTCCCAAGTCATTGGTATTATAGGAGCGCACCACCATGCCTAGAGGATTAACAGTTTTCTAACTCTTCCATGACTCTAGACTCTTTCTAATCCACTCATAAATTTTTCTTTCCATTCCTAATACCTCTATTTGAAGCATTTTTTCATGGGTTTTTCTGACTCAAGTTCTCAATGATGTCCTTTTTGGTCAGCTTCTCTCTCTCTCTCTCTCACACACACACTAATCATATATATAAGTAGTTTTTTATTCTTTACTATTGATTATATACAATAAACTCCAAAAGGATCAATGTTAGTTTTATATATATATATATATATATATATATATATATATATATATATATATTATAGGTCCAAAAAATACAGATAACTGTGCATAGTTACAAAGGTAGTTTATTTAGTTGATCATAAAAATCTCATTTTTTTCCCAAAGTAAAAACACAATTACTTGTTTTAAGGAAGCCACTATGTAAATCATCACTCTAACCTGCATAGTTTTCTTAACCCCTAAGACAAGTGAGTGATATAAATGAAATATCCATTACCCTGCTGATAAGGTGCTGGTTCAAATGGTGGGGCAGCTCCTCGAGGATCCTGATAATAAACATCTGCTTGTGCTGGATATAACTGAGAACCTCGTGGTACCATCTGAATTGGTTTGGTGACAGGCATGGGAGGCAGATCTGCCGGCCCCCTTGGAGGTACAGGATGTGGATTCACAGGTAAGGCAGAAATACTCTTAGGGACAGATTCTAGCCTAAGGGAATAAGATTATAAATCTTAGATCTCTAAGATACTTCTAATGTACATAAATTGTTCAATGTAAAAACAAGATGGCCACAATTTGATAAACTGGTTTATTCTAATAGTCATTTCCTCTACCAAATTTGCAAATTTTATCATTTTCACACCTATGCTATTTCTTAAAAACTACTAGTAGAATAAAGAAAGAAAACATTTTCTTTAACTAAAACATTAATCTTTCCTTCTTCTTCTGCTTTACATTTAAAAGGAAGAAACTGAGGAAAAATGACGTACAGGTCAGGAGGGGATCCTGGAGCACTACTGCTCAGATGATCTATTTTCCCTGGTTTCAGACTAGAATCATAGCTGGGATCTGTCCCCCGTGGAATCAGTTGTGTTACTGTATTTCCTGCTGGCACAATTCCATTTGGTAGAGCAGGGGGTTTTCTGCTAGGTAGATCCACTGCACCTTCTTCTGGAAGGATGGCTGCAGAAGGCAGGCCCACCTCATTCAACTGACCCAAAGAGGCACTCAGAGGTCTTCTGGGAACCAGACGTTTGTTCATTTTACGAAATCTATAACAAAAAGCAAAGGTACAAAAAACAAAAAACACACAAATATCAACAAAAATACTTCAGTACTCTATAATGTTATTCCTATGACATGTCTATACAGATACTGATATAAAAACTCATTGTTTTGTACAAAGACAGGTAAGAATCTTTCAAAGAGACAGCCATTATCTTTTGTCATTGATGTAAAATGTCACCTTGAGCACATAAGTTCTTATGTTTTTCAAACTCTTTTTAGACACTTTACTAAGCTACCGTTCCTATGCATACCAGTTTTTATATTTATCTTAGCTTATAAAACAACTATTAATCTAGTCTCTTTTGAAAACTTTTTTTCCATAATTTTCCTACCTATTTGCATGTATTTATTCTTTTCAAGTGAATGATTTTGTTGGGCCTTTAATAATCACCACGTTGAGATTTTAATTGGGATCTCACAGAACTTACTGTTTATAAGGGATCTGTAATTTCAACTTTTTTCTCACATGGTGCTGGGAATCCAACCTAGTTAGTGCTTTGCACATGCGCTCTACCACTACCTACACCATCCAATACTCAACTTAATTTTTCTTTCTTTTGTTGGTTTTACAATATTGGAGATTGAACCCAATAGGGCCTTGTGTATGCTAGGGCCAACAGGGCCTACATGTTTTCCTTTTTATTTTACATGAAAGTGGTTCATTTTGTAACTTTACATATATCAGCTACTACTTCCAGAATGTTAAGAGTCAGGTGAAATGGCACATACCAATAATCCCAGCCACTCAGGAGACTGAGGTAGGAGGATCCCAAGTTTAAGGCCAGCCTGGGTAACTTAGTGAGACCCTGTCTCAAAATAAAATAAAAAGGGCTGGGGGTGTGCTTATTGGTAGAAGGCCTCTGGATTCAATACCAGAACAACGACAACAAAAAGGAAAACCCCGGAATGCTAACTAACTTTCTAGGAGAAAAATCTTACCTTTTTACTGACTTAATAAGATGAAATTATTATTGTACTAATTAAATGCATCATGCTACCATGGTGGCTTTTAAGATATAATTAATTAACTGGCTGAGAAAGTATCTATGATACTGTTATTATACTATAATACAAAGTATCTACTGTTGTATTAAAGGATTTTGATCTAAAATTGATGTTAGATTTTATTCAAATGACTTCTGCAATCTTTGGGTATGATCATGTTATTTCTTCAATCTATTTTAATGAATTACTGAATTCTTTTATTTGGAGTGATTTTTAATATTAATATTTTTGTCATTTTCTTTCCCTTTCTTTCTTTTGTTGGTTTTACAGTGTTGGAGATTGAACCCAACAGGGCCTCGTGTATACTAGGTGAGTGTCTACCTCTGAGCTATACTCCCAACCCCTAAAATTTTCTTTAATTGTGTTATCTTTGTTAAAATTTGGTGTGTCATACCGGCTTTATTAAAAAAAAAAAAAAGAAAAAGAAGAAGAAAACAGGCATGGTAATTCATACCTATAATCCCAGTGACTCAGGAGGTTAAAGCAGGAAGATCACAAGTTCAAGGCCAGCCTGGGCAACTTAGCAACCCTTAACAACTTGATGAAACCCCATCTCAAAATAAAAAATTAAAACGGATAGGGATGTAACTCCTCGGTGGCAAAGGATTGATAGGTTCAATCCCCAGTATCTGGCGAAGGAGGGTGGTGAGCGCAGGTGGTCTTTCTTTCTTTAGTGTGCTAGAAAACTTAACATCACTGTAATTATCCAGCCCTTGAAATTTCAAAAAACTATGAAGTTGAGCCAATGGCAAAATTTTCCACAGGTAACACATTATATAATTATTAAAAATTAGCTAAAATTAATGAAAATCGCTAACATTCTAATTTTTTTTGTAGTAAAAATGATTCATTTTGAGATAAACCTAAACACAAAATAGTTTTCTCTGTAGAAACAATGTAATTAATGAAAGCCGAAAAAACCACTCTCCTTATTTCTCAAAGTCAGCACACTGTTCTACTAATATCTTATTCCAAAGGCTGTCTCATGCTTTTCACACTTACTTTTCCAGTTCCTCTTGTGAGTGTGCAAATGTACAGCTGGCACCACGAGGGCATCCTCCTCTTTGCTTCATATCTCGACACATGTATGTTTTATATTTGCTATGCTGTGGAGGCTAAGACCAAAATCAAAACATCAGACATAAAACAAAAATTACAAAACCAAAATAAATGCAAATTCCATTTTGCCAGTTTAGGATTTTCACAATCTAGATGAATAAGATTAATCTCCATATTCATCTAAATTATCCAGAGACAAAGTTCTCAAAAGTTATTTTCCTTAAGTCTCAGAAAGTTAAAAATATATAAGTCCTGGGCTGGGGTTGTGGCTCAACAGTAGAGCGCCTACCTAGCACGTGCGAGGACCTGGGTTCTATCCTCAGCACCACATAAAAATAAAAATAAATAAAGGTATCATGTTCAACTACCATTAAAAAAATAAATATTAAAAAAATATATATAAGTTCTAATTTTTCTGACATGTTGATGTTAATTCTCAAACACATGGCATCATATAAATTCTTAAACCTCAGGGCAACTTTATAATCTTTCTTCCAAGTTTTATAACAGAAAAACAAACCAATGGAATTTAAGACCTGCAAATGTATAAACTCTCTTCTAATATTTGTTTTGTGCAATGTTCAGACAGATATACATTTCCTATAAAATACTACAAAATGTACAAAAGGTCCAATAACCAATTCGTGACTTGCATACGAATATGCCAATGACTTAAAATTCTCCAAAGGTACAAATTAAGCTTATTATTTACAACTTGAGGATAGGCATTAGGATGGATTTCAAAGTTAATATCAAATATAACACAAAAGTGAACCAAGTTTAACATATTTTATCACTAATGGCAGATCTTAAAAGCTTGTCTCATTGTTTTTGCTATATTCTTTGTGATAGCCAATGGAATAGAAAGCAACTGAAAGTTTCAGGTTTTTCAAAATTTCTTAGTCATAAAATAAAGCTCTTTATCTGTGTTCAGAATAAATGGGAAAATCATACCCAGATTATTCTACTAAGCAGGCTACTTTTGATATTTTTTGCCTTTCCACAGGGGAAAAAGATAGATTGCATAATCTATTTTTAATATTTACCTAAGTCAGGGAAATTAATAAGAGTATTAAATTCACAGGCTTTTCACTGCATATATAATAATATAGAAAAACCATTTACAGCTGTATGAGCAGTATTGGATTACTTAATACAGCAGTAATACCTACTGTCAAATTAATATATAATACAAAGTCCAGAGAATAATCTTAAATGGAATAAGGTTTAGCACGGAATATGCTTTCTTCATCAAATGTTGATATATTCGATGTGAAAAGTGAACCAGTGCAACATCAGATCAGTAAGGATTAGCTTAATGATGTTGGAAAAAATTACTAGGCTAAACCAGTAAATTGGCTGCTAACCATGCTAATTTATAATTTACATAGTTTTGATTGTCAGAGTCTTAAAATATTCATGTTATCTTTTTGACTTCATATCTGTAGATTTACTCACAGTAGTTTCAAGGTATATGCATGGTGACTTAATTTTAAATTTTAAGCTGTATCTTACCTGCTGTTGATCTGCTCCTTTTTTGCTATGGTTCTGTATATAATCAACCAGCCCATGTACAACTGTACGCACAGCTACCAGTCCATTTTCTAGCTGTTCCCAAGTAGGAGGAGGAGCATCTATAGAACAAATGACAACAAAAATCTTCTTTAGCTATAATGTTATTAAATATTTGGTCCAATATATTAATAAAGAAGTTGCAATCAAGCATAATGCAGCCTTTCAAATAACTTATTCACCTAACCTCCTTTTTAAAGGAATGGACATATTCTTTTAAAAGATGTGTTTACAAACTAAAATTACCACAGGGGAAAAAAAGGTAACAAAGGAATTAAGGAAGCCAGAAAAAAAAGGCACCTGTCATTAGAACCTTAGTATTGAACAGACCAGAGTGTGACATGGACTGCGCTGACTGGAGAACATATCTCTGATATAAATGTATGGTTACCACTCAGCGTCTTCAACTAATTGTTCTTATGTAAAGATGCAAGGTTGGTCCTATAGTTTCCCAGGGACATCTGAAATCTGAGATTCCTAAATTTATCAATTTTCTGTTTTTTAAATGCTGAGAATTGAAACCAAGGCCTTGCACCTGCTAGGCAAGGGCTGTCTACTACTTAATTATACCCCTAGTCAAAACTTAAAAACAGTTTTTTTAAATATATTTTTTAAATATTTTAATAGTTGTAGTTGGACACAATACCTTTGTTTTACTTATTTTTATGTGGTGCTGAGGATCAAACCCAGTGTATCACACGTGCCAGGCAAGCACTCCACTGCTGAGCCACAACCCCAGCCACAAAATTTAACAGTTTTTAAATGTTGGCACCTAACAGATTTAGAACATTATACAGACCAACACAGGGGAGTTCACACAAAACTTAACTATGGACTGCCTAGAGTCAGCCAATTTGGTATGTTTATTTTGAAGTTTTACATAATTCAGGTATAGGATAAACAAAATGTTTAATAAGCTTAATAGAAGAGGTATTATATAAAGCAACTCAGCTACAGTCTTCATTTAGTATTTGTTAGTGCCAGATTTTTATTATATAACAATTAACCATAAAACTAAATATAAAATAATCTCTAAAAGAAATACAAAATCAAGAGCAAACACATTTTTAGACATGACTTCTTGCTGAAGCCATCATGCAAGACTTCTTGGTGACAACATTTGAATGGGGCTTTGAAGAACTTATATTTGGGAACATCTACCATGCCTGAGTATTGTTCTAGTTGCTAGAGAAGCAGTAGTGATAAAACAAAAATTCCCATTATATTCAAGGAAAGGTTCCAGATAATAAACAAGAAAAATAATCAAAACAGAGTTTTAATTTTTTTTTCATTTAACATTATATTGCAAGCATTTTCTGTGTTTGCTCCACCAATTTTCAATTTTATATATTTATTTATTTTGATACTGGGGATTAAAACCAGGGCACTTAACCTATGAGTCACACCCCTAGCTCTTTTTTTTTAATTCTTCTTTTATACTTGAGACAGGCTCTTGCTAAGTTGCTTAGGGCCTCGCTAAATTGCTGAAGCTGACTTTGAACTTAAATCCTCCTGGCTCAGCCTCCTGAGCTTCTGGGATTACAAGCATGTGCCACTGTAACCGGCTCAGAGTTTTTAGGAAATGATGAAAACTGAAAAAAGAGAACAAAGAAAAGAAGTGCAGCAAGTTATATAAACTTTCAGAGAAGCCAGAGGAGGCCTCCTTCAGGAGGCTACATTTAGTAAAAGACCTGTAAAAAGGGTTTCAGAGTGTCTTAATAGAGATACTAGGAGGAAATCTTTCTAGTTAAGAGGGAAGAAAAACTGCTAAGACCTTGATGTGAGAGTGTGATTGGCAGGTTCCATACTAGCAAGGCTGGAGAGAGATAATGAAAGACCAGACCATGTGAGGACTTATAGGTCATGGGCTAGATTTTAACTTTTACACTGGGTAAAGGAAAGCCACTGAAAAATTTCGGGGCAGAAAATTAATAGGATCATTTTGGCTCTTGTGGTATGTCATACACAAAACAGGAGGCTAGTCTATAATCTATAAGGAGAGATAAAGATTGTAGCAAGGACGGTACTAAGAAGTTCGTGGATTCTAAATGAAATTTAAAGGTAAGGCCTACTGATTTAGCTGATGGATCACATATACACTATGAGATAAAGAGAAGGTAAGGATCTTTCTGAGGTTTTGAACCAAACAAATCAAAGAACAGAGTTGCCACTAACAAGATAAGGGGAGAAGCTCATTTTTAAAGTTTGAAATACTAATTAAGACTCATTATGGTGGCTGGGTACACACACACACACACACACACACACACACACAGGCTAGGAAAAAAGACTGAGCTAGATGAACTCTATTTCAGATTTTAAAAGACAATCAGTTATAATGTCTACACTACTTTATATGGCACCAAAAGAGAAACATATCACTGTATAATTTCAGAAATGCTAATATCAGAAAAAAAAAGGTAGGCCTCAGAACTGATGAAACAAGAATAAATTTGTGAACCATATAAATGATATTTAAACATATGAGACTTGTTGATATTGTCTTGGGATTGGATGTAAGTAGAAAAGAGAAGAGGTACAATGATTAAACTTTGAGACTACCCCAAGAGTCATCAGCTATAGATGGGAAATCAGCAGAAAAAATGCCGAGGACAGCCTAATAAAGTAAGAAGGAAATTAGGTGAATGTGGTGGCATGGAAGCCAAGAAAAAAGCATTTCAAGGAAAAGACAATAAAAAGTAATGATAGATGCTATGGATAGTTTCAAATACAAGAATTGAGAACTGAACTCTGGAACTGGTCACAGGGAAGTCACTGTGACCTTGATGATGTTAGTTTAGATAGAATGGTAGAGAAAAATGCCTGACTGGATTGAGTTCAAGACAGTGGCATCAGGGCTGGTGACACAGCTCAGTGGTAGAGTAAGCCCTACGTTTAATTCCCAGAAACATGCACAAAGTGTTATTAAAAAGGTAAAAAACATTTCTAGGTAGGTGGAAAAAGGGGCTAAAAATGAGTTAAGATGAGAGAAATAACTGTATTTAAATGTTGATAGAAGTACTCTAATAAAGGAAAACTAATGATATCAGAAAAAGGACACTGATGGAATATGCTTGTCAAGGTGATGCTAGTGCACGATGAGAAAGGGTGGCTTTAGTTCAATGAACAGTTTATCTACAATTATACGAAAACAGCAGAATATACTGGCATAGATGTAGATAGGCTAATATAGTGGTAAGAGCTTGTGGAATTTCGCTTAATTGCTCAGAATGATCAAAGCAAAAAAGTGGAAAAAACTATATATTCTTTTTAAAAAATATATCTTTTTAGTTGTAGATGGACATAATACCTTTATTTTATTAGTTTATTTTTTTATGTGATGCCAGGGATCGAACCCAGTGCCTCATGCATGCCAGGCAAGCACTCTACCACTGAGCCACAACATCCTTACTGTATATTCTAGGAAGAGATTTGATGTGGTTTCATTGAGCAATCTTGGAAGTATATCTGCAAAAGGAGGCTGCTTTAAAAAAGTAAGATAAGGGGCTGGGGTTGTGGCTCAGCGGTAGAGTACTTGCCTAGTATGCACAAGTCCCTGGGTTCAATCCCCAACCCCACATGAAAACAAAACAAAACAAAAAAACACTAAATAAGCAAAATAAAGGTATTATGTCCATCTCCAAATAAAAAATAATAATTTAAAAAACCCTAAATAAACAAAATAAAGGTATTGTGTCCATCTACCTTTGTGTGTGTGTGTGTGTGTGCTGGGGATTGAACCCAGGGTTTGTGCATGCAAGGCAAGCACTCTACCAACTGAGCTATATCCCAAGCCCTACTACTAAAAAATGTATTAAAAAAAAAAAAAGGTAAGAGGATTCCAAATATTCCTCTGAAAGCAATGAGGTATAAGTGAAAATTTATGAGTGTGGAATAAGTTCCAGTTTGCAGCAGTTAAGTACACTGGATTGGAAGAATTCATAGGATACAAAGTTATAACCATTCAGTCTGAGAGAAAAGGAACCAGGCTCTCATCTCAGTAAGGTGCAATAATAGGCGTGGAATAGAGAAACTTATAAAAGAAGAACAAATAGATCCTGTTGTCTGAAATGATATGTAGACTTAAGTGAAAGAAAAGGTATGCAGCAAGACAGAAGACTAAGGTTTTTAAGGTTACGTACATCAGAGAATGTTAGTGAGGAAACAGGAGGAAGAGCAGTCATCAAATGAAGATGATCTTACTTTGAAACACAGAGCAGTTTTTGGGAAATGGATTTGGAGTGAAGAGATAACAGTGACAGAGATATATGGAAGTCTATTTCTATGAAGAGGTAATACCCTGATGCTAAAAACCAACAACCATCATCAACAAAGCATGTAGAGAATACAAAGTTCCAAGAGCACAATTCGACTACAAGTTTGTGGAAAGGAGGGAAAAGAGTGGTACAAATCAAGACAGAAGCAGCTTTCAAAACAAAAGAGAACATGAGACTGCAGAAATATAAGGTGTCAGAAGAGTTTCTATACCAAAGAAGTGTTCAACAACATTATTAAATGCTGAAGTCAAATTTAAAGGTCTGAAGTCTTTGGAATTAGAGACTTGAAAACTTCTAGCAAATATTAACAGTTTTAGTTCAGTAGTAGGAATAAACACTGTAATAAACACAAGTTAAAATAGCTTAGATGCAAACGTTAGGTAAAAAATTAAGCTTGGGTACATTTTCAGGTCAAGAAACAGAATATAGGAAAAGGCTGACAAAGTAAAGATACCCAAAAAGAGAAAATTAATGAGCAAGGTATCAAGGAAGAGGCAAAAATGAGATTAAGGAAATGCCAACTAAGAATATAGAATATAGAAAAAATGAGTTTTGGCACAGGTGAGAAAGGTAAAATACAGCACAAATTTGTAATGGAAGAAAGAAGAAATATAAAGGAGCCTAAAGAGATTCGTGGTGAAGTGATTAGCATAGCTAATCATTAAGTAAATGAAAGTGTCAAATAAATATTATTTTAAATGAAATAAGGAAGAAGATTTGGGACAAAAAGAATACTATAGAAAAGATCTTGAAAAAATATTCTGGGAAATTCTAGAGGAATGTAACAAAAGACAAATGAACAATCACTGAACAGCTGAGGACACACACAAGATATAGTTCATTAGTTTCCTTTGGGTTTACCTGGACTTGGGTCAATGTTTGCTAATAGTTCCAAATGGGGTCTTAGTCGGTTCAAGTTTGCTGGGTCTCCAGTCCGCTGGAGAGCAATTGTTAGTTCCTGAACACTCTGAGCAAAAGAGGCTGGGGTCTGCAACTTAAAAAACATAAATATTAACTTTCTCAGAGACCAGATACTTCTTATAAAATAAAGATTACTTACAACTCATAGATGTTTCTGAAATTTATCTTATTCACATACCTTATATGTTTTGGCCAGAGTGAATTATTTATTACCTAAACAAACTCCTTATATCTCCACAATGTTTTAAACAGGGTATAAACAGGCATGTGGTATAAAGCACTATTCCCTCTGCTTACACATTCTTCAAATGTGGGACCTTTCTTAATTTATCAATTTCATAGTACCATTGTTTTTGCTTTTTTTAAATTATTTTTTGGTAATGCGGATTGAACCCAGAATCCCTTTACCACCAAGCTACATTCCTAGCACTTTTTAATTTGAGACAGGGTCTCACTGAGTTGCTTGGGGCATCATTAAGTTGCTGAGGCTGATCTCGAACTTGTGATTTTCCTGTCTCATCCTCCCAAGTCACTGGGATTATAATCACGCACCACTGTGCCTGGCTCTAACTTTGGTTTTCATAGCACAGTGTGTTATTTCGGCTCTAAGGGGGTCCTTCTAAATAATTAAAATTTGGAAATACAGTCTACAGGGTCTAAGATCATGACACTGAATATAAATCTTATTAACATCAGAAGCTCTTCTGTTAATTGGAATAAACAATTTCAAGAACTCTACCAGCTCAAACAATCTTATATTAGTTTGGGATTCTTGGAAGCATTCAGTTTGTATAGGTCCCAAAAGTTTAATGAGACACATTCTCACATTATCTACTTCAGGTGGGCATAACACGTCTCTTTAATTTGAAAACACTACCACCCTGATTTTGTAATAGTAATTGAGGGTTCTTGATAAATGAAAACACTTCAATGAGAATTTTCCTCCTGAAAATGGTCACTCTTCAAGAGGTAATGTTTTAAACAGCATACATTTAAAAAAAAAAAAAAGGAAAATAACACAATTATCCTTAGAATCCTGACATGCCTTTATTTAATTTTTAATATATGTACCAAAACTTATTATAATTTAAAAAACATAATCAAATAATTTATTATAATTAAAAAACATAGTCAGCTATTTATATATTTGTTTTGGCTTAATACTATAACTGAAGCATTTTTAGATTGCTAGCCATTTTTATCATAAACCATTTCAGACAAATATATCTAATGTATTCCATCACCAAGACTTAATAAATAATAACATTTAAGTTTTGTTTTTTTTTTTTCTTTTGGTGGTATTAAGGATTGAACCTGGGGCACTCTACCACTGAGCTACATCCCCAGTCTGTTTCATTCTTTTATTTTTTTATGAAAAAAAAAAAAATAAAAAATAAATATATATATATATATATATATATATATATATATATATATGGACACAACATATTTGTTTATTTTTACGTGGTCTGGGATTGAACCCAGTGCCTCATGCATACTAGGCAAGTGCTCTACCATTGAGCTATAATCTTGGTCCGTTTTTATTTTATTTTATCACAGGGTCTCACTAAATTGCTGAGGTTGACCTTGAATTTGCGATATTCCTGTTTCATCCTCTGGAATAGCTGGGATTACAGGTGCATCACCACACTTGACTCACTATCATTTTTAATAAGAAATTAAATTCAGAGTTATACAAAAGTACATACAAGAGGAAGTGAGGGGAAAGGGAAAAATAATACAAGGGGGACAAATGAATGTCAGTAGAGGGGGCAGAGAGAGAAGAGGGGAGGGGAGGGGAGGGGAGGGGAGGGGGGATAGTAGAGGATAGGAAAGGCAGCAGAACACAACAGACACTAGTATGGCAATATGTAAATCAATGGATGTGTAACTGATGTAATTCTGCAATCTGTATATGGGGTAAAAATGGGAGCTCATAACCCACTTGAATCAAAGTGTGAAATATGATATATCAAGAACTATGTAATGTTTAGAACAGCCAACAATAAAAAATTAAAAAAAAAAAAAGAAATTAAATTCTATGTATCTGCTGAAGAGGATTTTCCTCTCAACTAACTTTAGGGCTACGTTAGTGTTCTGAGCTTATAAATCTTCTTTAATCACTCCCTTATTTTCTCCATTTAAATAATGTAGCAAATAATAATCCTGAGATTGTAAACTCTTTAAAATTTTTTAATATTTTCTTAAAATTAATTATTTGGGCCAGTTGCGGTAGTGCATGCCTATAATCCCAGTGGCTCAGGAGGCTGAGACAGGAAGATCATGAGTTCAAAGCCAGCCTCAGCAATGGAGAGGCACTAAGGAACTCAGTCAGAGAGACCCTGTCTCTAAATAAAATATACAATGTAGGGCTGGGGATGTTGCTCAGTGTTCAACCTGAGTTCAATCCCCAGTACCAAAACAACAACAAAAACAAAAATTTATTGGCAATAGCACATTCAAAGGATAAGAGTATTTTATAGGTTTTTGGTTTTAATCCGGGGGTATTTTATCACTGAGCTCCATGCACAGCCCTTTTTTTTTTTTTTTCCCAGATAGGGTCTCAATAAGTTACAAAGGGCCTCAATAAATTGTTGAGGCTGGCCTTGAATTTGTGATCTTCTTAATTCAGCCGCCCAATCACTGGGAATAAAATGTGTGCTACTGTCCTTGGTTTATAGGTTTTTATTCACTGACAAATTGCTTCCCACAACAATCTATAATGTATACTTTACAAACAACCAGCAATGTTTTGAGAGTATATATGTGTGTGTATACACACACAAACTTTAACGGGCAATACTTGGTATGTCACTATTTTAATCATTATTGCTGGTGATATATTTATTTATTTGTTTATCTATTTATTGTATAAACCACATCTGCAGTCCTTTTTTATTCTGAGATGTTGTACTGCTAAATTGCTGAGGCTGGATTAAAACTTGCAATCCTCCTGCCTCAGCCTCCCAAGTAGCTTGGATTAAGTTAGCCAGTCCTTTTTTTTTATTCTAAGATGTGGCCTTGCTAAATAGCTGAGGCTGGATTCAAACTTGCAATCCTCCTGCCTCAGCCTCCCAAGGTGCTTGGATTAAGTCATGTGCCACATTGCCCATTCTTGATGTATTCTCTTTGTGAACTGTTAATTCCTGTTTCTCTCTCTATTAATTTATTGGAATTAGTGCTTTTGGGGAAATTTCTAGTAAATTCTATATTTGTACTGTACTGTATGATAGCTTGGCTATCATATTTAGCAATTTAAGTTTAAATTAATTTATTTTATTTAATTTCAACTGTTCCACAAGTTACATTTCAAGTACTTAGCAGCAGCTGGGGATATAGCTCAGTAGCAGAGCATTTGCTTAATATGTGTGGGGCCCTTGTTTCAATCCCCATAACCAAAAAATAAAACAACAACTACAAATAAAACAGAAAAATTAAGTGCTTAACAGCTATGTGGGGCTAATGATCAACATAGTGAACAGTATATACAAAGAATATTTCCATTATTACAAAAAGTTCGGTATTATGTATTGCTCTATAAAATGACAAGATATGAAATACATTACAAATTTTGCTTACCATTTTGTAGTACAAAGATCTCTGGATTTTAAATTTAAAGCAGGATATGAAAAAATTCTTCTAGGACCTATGCCTAATTATATAGTTCAACTGAGACAAAAAGTTTAACCTATCTGCAAAATCTTTTGAAAAGTAAGCGAAGTTTTTCTTCAGAGGTGGAAAGCAACTACTTTAAAGAGATCATTATTAAGGTTTCAACAAATTATAACCAGTCAGTTGCTTAACTTCAAATACAAGCTCCATTCTAACCTAGGCACATATCAACCTTTAAGTTTCAACTAGTGTTATTATTTTATTAGTTTGACCCTATTACTCTAAATTAAATGTACGGTAGGCTCTAGAATTGGCAATCATTTCTGGAATTATAAGTATTTAAGGTGAAATACTAAAAGATAATACTATTATTTAACATACTATAGTATGTTTTACATGCTGCTTTAAGACTTTTTAATAGCACTTTCATAAATTTCATTATGAATTACAACAAACAGTTCTAGTATTACTCTGGTTTTTTTTTTTAGTTGTCGATGGATACAACACATTTATCTGTTTGTTTATTTATTAATTAATTATGTGGTGCTGAGAATGGATCCCAGTGCCTCACATGTGCCAGGCAAGCGTTCTACCAATGAGCTACAACCCCAGCCCCTTGTATTACTCTAATTTTAAGAGAAATATAGTTTTTAGCATCAGATACAAATAATGAGCCTGATCTAACATTTACATCTACTTGAATGGTCTTTTTATCCTAATAAACAATAGATAAAATAGAAACAAGTTTACTGAAAATCTGATCTACCTCAGAATGGTAGTAGCTTCATTATATGTGAAATTATTCTGGCTAAGAATCATAAGAAACCACAATACACAGATCTAATAGATCATAAAATGGATACTAAAGAAAGACAATAAAGATTTTTAGAAAGTGGGTTTAACTAATCCTGTGATCAAAACTCAAAGAGAATAACAAAGGGAGAGAGGCAATGACTAAATAAAAGACCAGAGACCCCCCCCCCCAAAAGCAATGTGGGAGAGTAACTAGATAAAGCATTTTAACACTAATCAAATATTTAGATAAACAAACTAGTATTCTGATGTGACTAGTTATAACATGACACAGCCACACTGGATACAAATTACAAAAAGCCTGACATGCAGTATTCACTTCAATATGCATTTGTTAAGTAAATGAATTACCAAATCATAAATCATAAAATATCAAAATTCTAAGGGTAGTCTAACATAAAGGACAAAAGAGGCTCTACCTTGTCAATAATGGACTGCATGTGAGATTTGTGAGACTGGTCTCCATAAAGCAAAGAGGACCACTGGTCTGGTGCAATCCTTAAGCCTGCTTCCATAGCAATCTGTACTATCTGGGAGTCATGCTCTCGTCGCAGAGCTTCATAGGTTCTAAATTCTTCTTTAAGCTGCATCAGAGAAGAGTCTTCATCACGTTTGGTGACCTAGTCAGAAACAGTTAATCTCATAATGAGGTAAGGAAATAAGTTTATGCTTTATATAAACACAGATAACAATTTCAAATGTAAAAAGTTTCTTCCAGCAACAACACCAAGATTAAAACGTAATATGCCATTTTGCTTATAAAACATGCTCCAACAGAGATGTCAAAATCTTCTGCTAGGTCTTCCAGAAAGAAAGGACATATATGGGAATGAAATTTAAAGACTGGATAAAACTTAATACATATCTGTGTGTACGTATACCTTTTTGAAAAGAAAATACTTACAGAAGGACAATTATTCTAAAAAGTAGTACTCTAGGGGCTTGCCTGACATTGAACTATGTGGTACCAATAACTTGAGGAACTTTAGATGCTGATGTGATTCTAAAGATTACTAATTTGTATTTGGCTCAATTATCTATGTAGTTCTATGAAATGGGCCACCACCAAGTGTAAAGTTTGAGATGCTAGACTAGAATAATCAAAATGTTGATAATTATGTATGTATGCGTGTATGCGTGTGCATGTGTGCCCTCGCGAGTGGGACCGGGGGAGAGGCAGTTTACCTAGGATTGAACCCAGGGATGCTTAACCACTTCACCACATCCCCTGCCCTTTTTTGTATTTTATTTGGAGACAGGGTCTCACTGAGTTGCTTAGTGCCTCACTAAATTGTTGAGGTTGGCTTTGGACTTGCGATCCTACCACCTCGGCCTCCCAAGTTGCTGGGATTACAGGTATCTGCCACCATGCCCAGGTGATAATAATATTTTTAAATAATAAAAAAAGCAACTAAGGGCTGGGGATGTGGCTCAAGCGGTATCGTGCTCGCCTGGCATGCGTGCGGCCCAGGTTCGATCCTCAGCACCACATACAAACAAAGATGTTGTGTCCGCCGAAAACTAAAAAATAAATATTAAAAAAAAATAATAATTCTCTCTCTCTTAAAAAAAAAAAAAAAAAGCAACTAGGGATGGGGTTGTGACTCAGTGGTAGAACGCTCACCTAGCACATTTGGGGCCCTAGGTTCAGTCCTCACCACCACATAAAAATAAATAAACAAAGGTATTGTGTCCAACTACAATTAAAAAGTAAATAAATATAAAAAAAATAGCAACTAGTTGCTGAGCACTTAGTATTGTGCCAGTCAGTATGTTAAATTACTGAATTAACCATTACACTACTGTAGTAACTCATTTTTTTAACTTACTGACTTAAGTACAAATGTTATCACTCCCAATAAGTCACATTTTATATCAAGCTGTACTTAGACTAACGGTTTAACAAATCAAAATAAAATAATTAATTCTAGCCTAAGATCATCTACATATTTAGCTTTAACTTTTTCTTTCCATAAAGATACCTAATATTCTAGTGGAAAATTCTGTTTCCTTCCTCCCACCTAAAAAAAACAGAATATTGTAGTCAGGATTCCATATCACACTGATATTAATTTAAAATATGTATTCCATTCTCATTACAAAGAAATAAAGTCCAATCTATATTTTGTTAGGAAAGTCCACAGAAAGATGAAAATCAAGCCATTAGTTAAAAAATAAACTAAATTACATTCTACCACAGTTCATGGGCTCAAAGACCAAATACTTGTGTGTGTGTGTGTGTGTATATATATATATATACACACACACACATACATGTATGAAAACACTCCCACTAAAACAGGCAGGTAGACCAATGGTATAGAATAGAGGACACAAGAGACTAACCCACATAATTACAGTTACCTTATATTAGACAAAGGTGCCAAAAACATACATTGGAGAAAAGACAGCCTCTTCACAAATAGTGCTGGGAAAACTGGAAGTCCATATGCAACAAAATGAAATTAACTCCTATCTCTTACCATGCACAAAACTCAACTCAAAGTGGATCAAGGACCTAGGAATTAAACCAGAGACCCGGCATCTAATAAAAAAAAAAGTAGGACATAATCTTCATCATGTCGGATTAGGCCCCAACTTCCTTAATAAGACTCCTACAGTGCAAGAATTAAAATCAAGAATGAGATGGACTCAAATTAAAAAGTTTCCTCTCAGCAAAAGAAACAATCTATGAATAGAGCACCTACATCTTGGGGGCAATTTTTTACCCCTTACACAGATAGAGCACTATCTCTATGGTATATAAAGAACTCAGAAAGCTAAACACCAAAAAAAACAAATAACCCAATCAATAAATGGGCCAAGGAAATGAACAGACACTTCTCAGAAGAGAATTTACAATCAATCAACAAATATATGAAAAAATGTTGGACATCTCTAGCAATTAGAGAAATGCAAATCAAAACTACTCTTAAGATTTCATTTCACTCCAGTCAGAATGACAGCTATTATGAAGACAAACAACAATAACTGTTGGTGAGGATGTGGGGAAAATGTACACTCATACATTGCTGGTGGGACTGCAAATTGGTGCAGCCAATATGAAAAGCACTATGGAGATTCCTTGGAAAACTGGGAATGAAATCACCATTTGACCCAGCTGTCCCTCTCCTTGGTCTATATCCAAAGGACTTAAGAAGAGCATACTAGAGGGACACAGCCACATCAATGTTTAAACCAGCACAATTCACGATAGCTAAACTGTGGAGCCAACCTGGATGCCCTTCAATAGAAGAATGGATAAAAAAAAAAAAAAAAAAATGTGGCACATATATACAATGGAATATTATTCAGCAAAAAAAAAAAAAAAAAAAGAATAAAATCATGGCATTTGCAGGTAAATGGATGGAGTTGGAGAAGATAATGCTAAGTGAAGTTAACCAATCCCAAAAAACCAAATGCCGAATGTTTTCTCTGATATAAGACTGATTCATAGTGGGGTAAGGAGGGGGAGCATAGGAGGAGTAGGAGGAAAAACATAGGAGAAGGAGCTTAGGAGGTAGAGGTGGGAGGGGAAGGGAGGAGGCAGGGGGTTAGAAATGATGCTGGAATGTGATGGACATCATTATCCAAAGTATGTATATGAAGGCACGAATTGGTGTGAATATACTTTATATAAAACCAGAGACATGAAAAATTGTGCTTTATATATGTAATATAAATTGTAATACATTATGCTGTCATATATAAAAATAACTAAATAAAGGGTTTCAAAAAATAAAACAAAAAAAGAAAGAAAGAAAGAACTCTCAAAACAGGCTAACCTTCATTAAAAGATAAAATTTGCTTTCTATATGACACACTGATTCCCCAGACTCAACTCTCAATACTCTTGAGCAGGGCTTTTTCCTCCTTCTGGAGTAGCCCACATTCTTGCTTGAATGTGTATTCCTTGCTTTACCCCAAAAGTAGAGTCTTTCTTGAGATTGCTCCCATTCTCCTTTGAATATGTATCTACTTTCCTAAATAAACCTCTGTCAATACCAAAAATAAAAGTTAAAAAAATAAATAAATAAAGTCCTGGAGCTGTATGGTACTAACAAATTATCTCACAGCTTGAAAAAACTTTTCAAATGAAAATTTAGAAGATACTTAAAGAGTACAGCTGGAACACAGTAATATGAACACACATTCCTAAGAGGAATGCTTAAAGTAGAAAAAATTGGTTTTCAAATTTTGGGGGGAGTTACTGGATTGAACTCATGAGCATTTTACTACTGAAGTATATCACCAGTCGTTTTTATTTTTTTGAGATAGATTATAACTAAATTGTTGGGGCTGATCTAGAACTTGTGTTGTGATCCTCTTGACTCAGCCTCCAAACCGGGCATGGGCCACCACACCTGGCTTCCATTTTTAAAAAATTTTTAATTTACTGTTTAAATATCCATCTCTTTGTGTGTGTGTGTGGGGGGGGGGGGGCTGGAACTAAACCCAGGCCTTATGCCTGGTAGGCAAACGCCATACCACTAAGTTACACCCCTAAGCCCACTATTTATGCCTTGATTTTAAGATGTTAGGAAAACAAAACAGAGGAATAATAAATGATACACAGCAGGCACCGATACCTATGTTTGAGGTAGTGTTGATTTAACTTGGGATATAAGAGAATAATATGTCCAACTTTACCACACATGCTGAAACTGAAATGGCAACAACAATTCCATTGCATATGTAGAGGAACAAATCTTCAAGAAAACTTGTTTGTGCTCAAATAACTTTCTTCAGACCAATTCTGTTTACAATGTTGGTGAAACACTGACCCAGTTGATTAGTCTCTTCAATATAAAAATCTGTAAGCCTTGGTTTGGTCTATGTTTTTCAATACCCACGTAGAAAATTTAGGGCTGGGGATGTAGCAAAGTGGTTGAGCATTTACCTAGCATGCATAAAGCCCTGGTTCCATCCCCAGCACTGAAAAGAATGAAAAAAAAAAAAAAACTTCAATAATGTATGATCTACATTCTTTACAAAAGAAAAATTCCTGAGATATTCTGTAAAGGTATAGGCAACTTTATTAAATTTAGGGAAAGGACAATGTTTCCTTTCAAGCAGAACTTTTAATTTAGATTCATACCTTGAAGCAGGAGGCTCTGTAAAGGAGCTGAACAACATGCCCAATGCTAGTTTTAGAGGCTTGAGGAAACCGTGGCTCCAACCTTTGCACCACAAAAAGAACCAGTACTTTTCTTGACAAAGCAGAGCCATCTTCTAAGGCCAGTAGAACCAGCTTTAGAGCTTCCTCTTGCATTGCTAGGAAAAGTTGGGCAAAATAAAAAATTCATCAGGTGCAGAGATGATATATTTTATTTAAAGAACAATATATGATAATTTCTGCAGATATCACTCAATTATTGGGAAACACAATAAAAGACATTGAGAACTATGCCTTTTTTATAGTACCAAGGATCAAACCCAGGGTCTCACGCATGCTAGGCAAGCGTTTTACCACTGAGCTAAAACCCCAGTCTTATAGCTTTACATTTATTAAACCATTTTTATGGGCAATTTGGGCTTATATTCTCTATATTTTATTAAGAAAGTAGATTAGGGACTAATGCATTTAGAAAAAACTTCTCTGAAAATGAACAAACTTTGGTATTGAGAGAAAATTTTTAAGTTCTCTGAGAAACTTGTTGAGTGGGATATTGTAAACCCAGTTCGTCTTCATATATCACTTAAAAGAGTTCTACATTATACTTTTAGAATTACTAGTACAATAAATACCAAATTTTAATTATATACCTGGTCCAAGGAATTGACAGCCCCTAGCCCTGACTGCTGCCCAAAGATTGGAAGAGAGTTGCTGAGGATTCTGGTGCTGGAGAATGAGTTCTGTAACTGTTCGTTCACCTAAAGAGCGAGCAGCTCTCATGGCACGAATCCTGCCTTCTTCTTCCACTAGTTGGCAGTGAACCAGAGTCACAAGCTTCCTCTGCATTGGGCGACTCAGAACACTCTGGGTAGTGCTATTCAGACCCACTCCTTTAGAAGAAAAAAAGAACATTATTTATAGGTTTACAGTACAATTTTACAGTCCAGGAGCACTTTCTCTGATGGGCTGATTGTAGGTATGTGCATAGTAGTTCTGGGTCCTACTAGAATATTTAAAATAAACAATGTAACTACACAAGTATTTTAAAAGTATACAAATGTTTATATGTATCACATGAAATTCAACATTCACTATGACATTTGAAATACTATTATTCATTTTAATCTTTGAAGAAGAAAGAAAAAAAGATCAACCAACAATAAAAATTGTTCAAAGACCCAAATCTTAAAGTCATAACAGTTCTAGCATATTATTTCATAGTGATTAATCTTACTTTTATGATCAAATAGCAAGCCCCTTCTGGGAGGTAATAGCAACTTCCATTTTTATTACATCCCCTATTGTGCACCATCTAAAACTAGACAGAAGACAAGACTATTGACAATTGTCGAATGATGGAAAGGCTGCCCTTCTGAATCGCTAGTACTTATACATACTTACACTTTTAGTCATTCAAATAATTTTTCCAACAACACGAACTCTAAATTCACTACTTTATTTAATGGGTTTGTAACATTATTTAGTATGAAGTAGGTCTGGCTTACAATTAAAAAAAATGAATTTCATTCATTTACAGTTCACAATTTGGGGGGATACTAAAGATTGAACCTAGGGGTACTATGCCACAAAGCTGTATATACAGTCCCCTTTTTTTTATTAAAAAATATATTTTTAGTTGTAGATGGACCTTTATTATTTTACTTATATGCAGTGCTGAGATTCGAACTCAGTGCCTCACACATGGTAGATAAGCATGCTACCACTGACCTACAACCCTAACCCTTATGTAGCCTTTTTTGAGATAGGGTCTTGCTAAATTGCCCAGACTGGCCTTGAACTTGCAATTTTCCTGCCTCAGCCTCCCACACAGCTGGGTTATAATTGCGCTCCACTACACCAGGCACAGCTCATAACTTTTTTTTTTTTTTTTCAGAGTAGAAATTCGAAGTTTATTAAAGGACAGCAGAAAAGACTTCTCCCGGAGGAAGAAGGGGACCCAAGAGGTGGAATCCAGCTCATAACTTTTATGGTAATGAAAAGTATACTTCATAGATGTTCGCTTGGCATAGATGGTTTCATGAGATTTACCTCTAGCACTGCTGAGCGGTTTCAGGTACAATGCTAATTCTTCTACACATTTCTTGGCTTCTTCATAATGCTTTGTGTCTTCAACCCCACTACACAAAGTAATGGGCTGCTGTTCAGGGACCTGCAGGAAAAGAGTATTCATTAATTAATTAAATGTTTTATTGTGTATAGTTTATGCACTGATAACTTGAACACTGGCAACATCAAAACTACTAAATTTACTTAATTAAAAGATCTTCCTCATATACACATCTACTGAATTGTTCCATCTCTAAAATGGCCTTATTGAGAGACAATTCACATACCATATTATTGATTGATTTTTAAGAACACAATTCAATGGTTTTTAGCACATTCCCAGTTGAATAACTATCACACAATTAACCTCAGAATTTCATCCCTCAAAAAGAAAATCTCATACCATTTTAACAGTTACTCCATCGTGTCATCCCAACCCACTGTAGGAAACACCAATCTATTATGTGTGGGTCTATGAATTTGCTTTTCCTGAATCTTTCATATAAACAAAATTACATAATCATATAATGTGTGGTCTTTTTTGACTCTTCTTTCACATAGCATATGTTTTTAAGGCCATGCAAGTTATAATATATTCTAGTGTTTTATTACTGAATAACACCTCATTGTATTGACATACCACATTTTATATGAGTCATCAACTGATAAGACATTTCAGTTTTCTATTTTTTGACTATAATGAATAATGCTGCTACAAATATTTGTATACAAGATCTTGTGTGAACCATTTTTTTGTTTTGTTTTTGCTTTTCTTGGGTACCCACACCTAGTGAGTGATAATATTTTGAAAATCTGCCAGACGATTTTCCAAAAGCAGAGTATCCTTTACACATTTACCTGCCACATGTGTAATTATATATTTATCACATATACATCCAAATATATTTATGTATATACATGTATATATGTGGGTGTGTGCGTGCGTATTTTTAAAATATACGAACGTGTTTGTATGTGTGTCCTGCACACTATACCCAGGATCTTATGCATGCCATTTGATTTTAATTGACAAATAATAATTGTCTAATTTATAGGGTATTTATATATAGACAATATATAATTGTCTATATTTATATGATATATTGTTCTGATAAATTTACAATCTGAAATGATGAATAATTTTGTCACTTCAGATAGATCTGCTAAAATAATTAGTTAACTGGAATATCTGTTTAACTTCAAACTTCTCTACACATTTTAAACGTTTTCTGGAATGATTTTAGATTCACAGAAAAGTTTGTAAGATTCTCTAAACTTCACTTCCTATGTGGTCAGTTCTCTACTACTACTCTTTCCTAAGTCTTGTCCTGCTGATATGGTTATACCTAGATTTTGTATTTACTATGTGCCAAGCTGTATAGGCATCAAAGAGGAAGGATATCTTTCACCATGTCTTCCACCCTTTTCTTTCTCCTACTCCCCCTCTTATTTCAAGCATTACTGTACATACATGGTATATGGCACAAACAAGCAAGGAAGGACTATGAACTCTTCATCCCTACTTTAGAAATTTCAAGAATTACTGTGATAATAGCAAAGCATCATGGGGAATCTCTTTTCCAATAAAATATTTAAACCTTTATAAGAAGCTATAAAAGGACAAATCAATATGTGATAATTTGTCTAAGGTGAAAGGAATCCTTCCTTTTCCTCCTACATCATCTGTGCAAACAGCCTCAGTACAGTTGAGAATAAAGCTGGGTTCAAGGCCTGGCCCATGTAATGGGGCCCTGAGACTGTCACTTTAATTCTGTGGGCTCTTTTTTTTCACCTATATACTTATAGAATACTAGTAATTTAGACTAGCTCTGATCCTACATACGTGTTCGAGTGTTCTAATACTTATTGTCTTTAAAACTTGAGATCTTTTTCATTTTCTTCTCAGATTTCCCTTTTATTCTAAATATTCTCCTGACACAAGTGTTCTCCTAATTTATTGGGTTACAGTCCTACACTGAGAAATGTGACTTTGGTGAAAGTGAGGGCAGTGGGTATTGGGGATTAAACTCTGGGTTGCCTTACAACTGAGTTATATCCGTAGTCCTTTATATTTTTTATTTTGAAACAGGGCCTTGCTAAGTTGCTGAGGCTGGACTCAAACCCTGTAATCCTCCTGTCTTAACCTCACAAGTTGCTGGGATTGGACATGCACCACCACACTGAGTGAGAAATGCTACTTTTTATGGGAGTCTTGTTGGAACACCTACCATCTGAATTAACACCTGCCTCAGTCGTTAAGTAAGATCAAATTCTAGGCACAAAAAAAGAAATGCAATTATGAACTTCCTAAGGAAAAATATAGATGTATCTTTGTGTAAGGATGAAGTTAGTCAATTTCCTACTTTCCATACCCTCCCTCCCTTCCTTCCTTTTTATTTTTTAGTTGCAGTTGGACATCTTTATATGGTGCTGAGGATCGAACCCACGGACTCACATGTGTGAGGTGAGAGTTCTACCCGAGTCACAATCCCAGCCCTCCATACACTATTTTCCAAAGGGAGTCACTATGTATAGCCCACATGTGTATTGAGGGTAGAGTTTATTTAAATTTATTTGGAATTCCGCATGAGAAATCCAGTCTCTTTCTCTATTCATTTAGGTTTTTATCTGTATATACTTGAATAATTATTTTATACTTTGGTAACAATCCAATACAATTCTATTTGTTTTGTTTTCAAACTGTTTCAGATTTGACCACTGAGAGCTCTTTCAGATGATTCCTGTGTGCCTATGACATATCCCCTTCACTGACTGTATTTGAGCTTTTAGACTTTTTAGCACTAGATGCTCCAACTTCCTATTGCAGGGCTACAATCAGCCACTTTTCCAAAGAATGCTGGTTTCTTTTAGTGAAGAACTATATTTAGAAGCCAAAATTGAACACTAGGTATGAATGCTGATATTGGGGTATTGTGCTTGCTAGTCCATCTTGGCTGACAAGGCAAAAAAAAATGTGTGTATATTATACCCCAGGTGTGTGTGTGTGTGTAAATATTACTATAAAACCATTTGTATGTATATTCAGTTAAAACCAAGTTTCCACTGATGCCCCAATTCTAAGCCATTAGCACAAAGATCATTCTAGCCTCTTCCTCTTTGCATATCTATAAACTTCTAATAATGAGAAATTTCATTCTCTACCATCTGCCTCCCATTTACTTAAAAGTTTAATTCCCATATACATGTACAGCAGTGTCAAAATTAATTCATACTTTCATGGGGAAAACACTTTATCAATTAGAACACACTGTTCATATATAATATCTAATGCCTTTAATTTTCTAAGAATTTACTTACTTTGAACTAGTAAGTATCTAAAGTTAATTAGGTTAGCACCTTTCCTCTACAGCCCTTGCAGTGACGTTGTTTCATTTATTTCAGATTGTTCTCCATAAACTTTTGTAAAGTTTTGTGTTTTAGCTAGGTGTGGCGGCACACTTCTGTAATTTCAGTGATTTGAGAATCTGAGACATGAGAATCCCAAGTCAACATCAGCCTCAGCAACTTAGTGAGACTATCACAAAATAAAAAATAAAAGGGGCCAGGGATGAAGTTCAGTGGTAAAGCAACCCTGGGTTAAAATCTCTTTTTGAAAAATGCAGAATATCATACATCCAACAAATACGGAATCATATAGTTTCACTGCCCTAAGAAATACCCTATTTTTCATCAGTCCTCCTGCCTTCCTACTGAATCCTAGCAACCAATGATATTTTTATTGTGATTTTTAATTTTGTATACAATATCACATATTTGGAATCATACAGTATTGTAGGATTTTCAAAGTGGCATCTTTTACTCAGCAATGTATATTTGAGGTTTATCTGTGTCTTTTTGTGGCTTAACTACTACTTCCTTTTATTATTTCATTTTATACAATATTCTAATTACATGAATATACCAATGTTTATTCATTTGCTTATTGAAAGACATCTTGATTACATTTTTTTGCAATTCTGAATAAAACTGGTGTAAATAGTCAAATAAAAGTTTCTGTGTAAACATATTTTCAAATTAGTTGGGCAATTATCAATAATAAACTAATAAGAGACTACCAAACTGTCTTCTAAAGTGGTTGTTAGATTTTTCATTCCTACAAGTAAAAAATAAAAGTTTGTGTAGCTCCATTCTCTTCAGCATTTGTTGTCCATGTTTCAGAATTTGGTTTTTCTAATAGGTAAGCAAAGGTATGAAAAGCTGTGAGCAGTTGCTTTAATTTGCTATTCCTAGTGATAATAGTTAGCAATTTTTTCCCTATTAGTGCATTATAGTTGAACACATTGGTATGATTTGTTGTTATATATTTGTACATGCATACAATATAAAAATATAATTTGGCCAATATTATTGCCCAGTATTTCCTCTTTCCCTCCTCTTCCTCCTCCCCTTATTTCCTTTCTTCTACTAATGTGAGAAACTTTTCATCTGCCATATTTGTGTCTTCTTTGCTGGGATGTCTATGTAGATCTTCACCCATTTTTAATTGGCTTGTCTTTTAAACATTGAGTTAAAAATTGTATATATTCTAGATATAAGTCCCTTATATGATTTTAGTATTATTTTCCTCCATTCAGTGGGTTGTTCTTTTTTTGTGGTACTAAGGATTGAACCCAGGGCCTCCTGAACGCCAGGCAAGTCTTCAACCACTGAGATAATAGTCAAATAAAAGTTTCTGTGTAAACATATTTTCAAATTAGTTGGTTAATTATCAATATTAAACTAATAAGAGGCTACCAAACTGTCTTCTAAAGTGGTTGTTAGATTTTTCATTCCCACAAGTAAGAAATACTCAGCCCATTTTATTTTATTTTGAGACATGGTTTTGTTGAATTGCCCAGGCTGGACTTGTAAACCTCCTGCCTTAGTCTCCTGAATAACTGATATTACTGGCTATGTGTCACCAAGACAGGCTCTGTACTTTCGAACTTAATAAATATTTAGTAGTGCTGGTGGTAATATCAAGATAGGCATATAAATAAAGGTTTCCTTTTGAATAAACTATCCTAGAATAGCTCTCTTTATCTTCGACACATGTAATAACATCAATTTTTGTCATACTTTAGCAATTTACAGAAGATTAAACTTTTATACTAAATATATGGCACTTCAGACTTAAACTGAACAAATCAATAGTGAAGAATTATCTAAATGAATCATATCTAACACTCAAAAACTTGTCTTTAAATCTTGTGAGGAAAATGACCTTTGAGAAGACTAGGGGCTGGGAATGTAGCTCAGTAGTAGAGTGCTTACCTCATATGCACGAAGCCCTGAATTGAATCCCCAGTTCCACGGAGTGCGGGGGGTGGGGCACTATCCCATCATCTAATTTGAGAACACTTACATAAAACTTTCGAAGTATTACCTTCAGAATTACCACACTAACTTCCAAATGTAGCTAACCAGGGATATTTGATCCTCTTTTAAATAAGTGCTTCTTAAAAGCTGTGCTCTGTTGATTTTGTCACCTTTTCATCATTTCAGTTAGTATCTAATATGTAAAACTGCCTGAAGCAGCTTTATCTCTTCTATTAATTCAGTGCAAGGGTTTATGAATAGTATTTTCCTCAGCGCAAAGAATTCCTTATGACTTATCTCTTAGGTTTCTCTAGTAATCTGAATAGCTAGGATTCTTAAAAAAATCTAAGAATAAATGAACATTTCAATATCATGAATGAAAAATACTGAATTACTAGTGTATCTTGTAATATACTGAAATAAAGGATCAACATAGTACAAGAAAGCATCATATCTATTTAAATAGAAGACAATGTTATTCAATTCTAATTCAACAAGTTTTTGTCAAGATCATGCATGTGCACACACAAACACACACACACTCAATTTAAAAACTATTAAGTCACCCATCTTACCTGAGCACCCACTAGCTGCAGCAATGCTGAGTTCACGGGAAGGAGCTCAATGTCTGTATTGATAGTGGTCTGGTCAAATGGGCAAGCCTTGCGGTGGAGTTTGTTCAGGCACATCTTACAGACAGTATGGCCACAGCCCAAACTGATGGGCTTTCGAATTGTTTCGTCGAAAGTCTGAGTGCAAATTGGGCAGGAGAGGAAATCCGTCCATTGTGGAGCTTGTACAGGCATTGCTTCTGGAGTTACAATTCACTAATACACACACACACACACACAAATCTAAAGCAAAGATTCCACTGGAATCAAAATCTTTGAAAAAAGTTTATCTTTTTTTTTTTGTTAAATATCTTCTGTAGATACAGTCAGCACATAGTGTGAAATATAACCTGGAAAACAAAGAAAAATGAAAAAATTTAGAGTATGTTTCATGTCAATTCAACTGTTGAAGTCAAAAGTGCAGTCTCCACCCTACAACTTCTCATAACAGTTTTATAGCACAGTAATCCATCTTTTTGCACTTTCACAGAATTAAAGCCATAATAAAAATGTCTAGTCTCATTCCTTCATTTTAGAAATGGGGACTAGTCCCACAGAAAGATGAAATAACTTGCCTAAGGTGATGCTTTAAAAGTTAGTAACTGTTCCAGGGGGGGTTGGGGTTGTGGCTCAGTGGTAGAGCGCTTGTGAGGTTCACATGTGAGACACTGGGTTCGAGCCTTAGCATCACATAAAAATGAATAAATAAAGATATGTGCAAAAAAAAATAAGCTTCATTTAAAAAGAAAAAAGAAAGTAATTGTTTGGAGGGGGCTATTAATATTTTGTTTCCTGATCTGAATATGTTACATGGGTGTGGAGTGTTCAGTTGTGAGAATTTATCAAGCTCTTCATTTTATGTATGCTATAAATCAAGAGGCCTTTTAAAACTGGCCTAAAATTAAAAATACCTTAAAAAATATTTTACCATCAAATTTGGTGAAATTAATAAGAAAAATTACTCCTCAGTTTACAAAGGACTTAAAAACAGCATACTAAAGGGACATGGCCATATCAATGTTTATAGCAACACAATCCACAATAGCTAAATTATGGAACCAACCTAGATGTCCTTCAGTAGATGAATGGATAGGAAAACTTTAGTTTATGTACACAATGAAACATTATTCAGCATTAAAAGAGAATAAAATCATGGAATTTGCAGGTAAATTGATGAAGCTGGAGACTATAATGCTAAGTTAAGAAGCCAATCCCCCCCAAAACAAAGTGTTTTCTTTGATATGAGGATGCTGACTCATAATGGTGATGGAGAAGAGCATGGGAGGAATGGAGGAACTTTAGATAGGGCAAAGGGGAGGGAAAGAAAAGGAGGGGGTAAGAGGGTAGGAATGATGGTGGAATGAGTAGACATCATTACCCTAAGTACATGTATGAAGACACAAATGGTGTGAAAACACTTTGTGTACAATCAGTGACTTGAGAAATTGTGTTCTATGTGTATAATATGAAATTAATTGCATTCTGCCATTATGTATAATAAATTACAATAAATAAATAATTTAATAATAAAGAGATGGTGAAGTTTTTCAGGGTTTATTTTTAAGGTTTACACATTCCTAATAGTCTTACATAATGGTGGCTAAGGCAGGAGGATTGTGAGTTCAAAGCCAGACTCAGCAACTTAGCAAGACCCTGTCTCTAAATAAAATATTAACAATAGCTAGGAAGCAATACATGGTGGTGCACACCTGTAATACCAGCAGCTCAGGAGGCTGAGGAAGGAGGATCATCAGCACAAAGTCAGCCTCAGCAAGAGTGAGGTGGTAAGAAACCCAGGGAGACCCTGTCTCTAAATAAAATACAAAATAGGGCTGGGGATGCGGTTCAGTAGATGGTATTTAAAATTAAAAAAAAAAAAAAAAGGATTTTTCAAATCTCCAAATTTAAGAATCAGAACAATTACTATTAACCAGAACTCATATGCAGTTCAATTTTACTACTGATCTATTTTTGGTGGGCTAATGAAAAACGAATCATAAAATTCATCACTGTGTCTATCAAAAGTTTTCGCCAAATAAATATAAAACCCAACCTGAAACCTCTAACACATATTTTAAACAATACCCACTACATACTACATTTATAAATAACTGTAGTTTTAAAAAATGAGAACTGACATTAAGAATAAAGTACAATAGTATTACAACTCATTAAAGATTTAATTATGCTCAATAGTCTACTTACAAAGATGAATCATTTAAAGTATAATGAAACAGAAGTCAATTATTTATACTTGTTATTCTTCAAGTATTACATTTAATTCACATTTTATTGAAATTACTCAACCTTGAATAGAAGCCCATTATTGATGAGAGAATGGTTTCTATTATGTATGCTAAAAACTTTTTGCACATTCATTCAACAAATATTGACAAGCACTATTATGTGCCAGGCTATTTAAATTATGGGTAAGCCAATTAAGGTGGCACACACCTATAATCCTAGTTATTCCAGCTGCTTAGGAGGCCTGTGAGGCAGGAATATTGCAAGTTAGAGGTCAGACCGGCAACTTAGCCAGACCTTGTCACAAATAAATTTTTTTAAAAAGGGCTGGGGCTGTAGCTTGGTGGTAGTTGCCCCTGGGTTCAATCCTCAGTACCACAAAACATAAATAAATCAACTTAACTTTGTTTGGATTTTTACAATGTATGCTACTAGAAAATAAAAATGAACACTGGGGACTGGGGGTTTAGCTGAGCAGTATAGTGCTTTGACTAGAAGGTGTGAGGTCCTGGGTTTGATCACCAACAAAAATTAAAATTTTTTTAATTGTCTATTTTCATTTCAGCCCCACCGGCCCATGCTGGGGATTGAACCTAGCACCTTGCACACACTAGGCAAGCACTCTACCACCAAGCAATACCCCTAGTTCCAAAATGAAAAAATATTTAACTACTTTACAGAAAGCTCTCAAATTAATTTTAATTCTATAGTTAGTTATTTGCATATATATCCAAATGGATCTCACAACACTAAGAGTAAATTGTGAAACTGACTATATTTTGACTTCTTTAATAAAGCACTATAAATAGTTATTACTATTCGATAAATTGAGACTGTCTTCTAGATGCTAAAAAAGAAAAATCTATATCTATTTGTAGAGTGAAATGCTACATTGGTACATGGGGTTATAACAGGCTCAAAATTAAACAGCCAAAAAGGTGTTTAGAAGATATAATCAAAATGAGAGCTGGAAACTACATGTTTGATAAAGCTGATTAAGTTGCTAAAGCATCATCCACAGGAATTATTTATAAAGGGAAAATAGCACTGTATTCCTATAAACAATACCAACTCCAAATAGCACAAATATATTTTATTGCATATCATTATAATTTTTATTATTCATACAGCTATGCACCACACGCTGTGCTAAATGCTTCATACAGAGCAAATCCATAAGTATATTATCCCATTTGCAGGTAAGAGAAATGGAGATTTAGAAAGGCTGAATAGGCTGGGCTGAGGATGTAGCTCAAGCGGTAGCGCGCTCACCTGGCATGCGCGGGGTGCTGGGTTTGATCCTCAGCACCACATTAAAAAATAAAATAAAGATGTTGTATAAGAGGTTGTGAGGGGAATGGGAAAATAAACAAGGAGAGAAATGAATTACAGTAGATGGGGTAGAGAGAGAATATGGGAGGGGAGGGGAGGGGGGATGGTTGAGGATAGGAAAGGTAGCAGAATACAACAGTCACTAATATGGCATTATGTAAAAATGTGGATGTGTAACCGATGTGATTCTGCAATCTGTATTTCGGGTAGAAATGGGAATTCATAACCCACTTAAATCTAATGTATGAAATATGATATGTCAAGAGCTTTGTAATGTTTTGAACAACCAATAAAAAAAAGAAAAAATAAATAAATAACCTAAAAAAAAATAAAGATGTTGTGCCCACCAAGAACTAAAAAATAAATATTAAAAAAATTCTCTCTCTCGAAAGAAAGAAAGAAAGACTGAATAAGCTAAAAAGGCAGATATTAACTCAGATATTCTTGCTCAAAACCCAAACTCTTGACTCATACCACCATGCCCAGGTTAAAGATTAACATATAACAAAGGGAAAACTACTTGCAGTTTCATTAAATAAACCATATAAGACAGTAAAGTTGGTATAAATCGACCCAAACCTGCATTTTGTTCTAACAGCTACTGACTTCACAGCCATTAGGTCCTTTTGACAAACTTGTTGCCAAATCTAATGGTCAGGTTAATCTAATCTTACTTGTATTCTCAAAAAGATATGAAACTGCTACTCTCACCATGTCATGAATGTTGTCATGAACAACATTCCTCTCCTTTTGAATTCACTTGCTATTTTTCTGAACCCTTAATTTTTTTAAAATTTATTTTTTAGTTTTCGGTGGACACAACATCTTTATTTGTATGTGGTGCAGAGGATCGAACCCAGCTCCGTGAGCACGCCAGGCGAGCACGCTACCGCTTGAGCCACATCCCCAGCCCCCTGAACCCTTAAATTTTGAAAGGGCTTTATCTTGAGTTTTCTTTTCTCATCATTTTCCAGTTTAAAATCCTGAAATAGTTTCTCATTATATTTAGAATAAAATGCAGATTTCTTACTCTGGTTTAAAAAGCCCTGAATGATATGACTTCTAATTATCTCTCAAACTACTATTTTTTTTGGTACTGGGACTTTTAACCCAGGCACTCTTTACATCCTCAGCTACATCCTCAGCCCTTCTGATTTTGAGACAGGGTCTCACTAAGCTGTGTAGGGCCTCAGGCACTAAGTTGCTAAGGCTGGTCTCAAACTTGCCTTCTGCCTCAGCCTCCAATTTTAATTTTTGAACACTGTCCCATCACTGGATCTGAGTGCTAACTATTCTGTTAATGTTTGAATCAAAGGCCACTCTAGGTAATTTCCAAAGCACAAAAAATGTCAGCCACTCTTGGTAATTTCCAAAGCACAAAAAATGTCAACTTCTCAGCTTTCCCTGACCACTTACACTACCTAACAATCTTTATTATTACTCTCATTCTACCACAACGTTTAAATTCTCTGAAACATTTCTGCCATCTGTAAATTTACTGATATTTTGTTATTCAAAGTCTATTTTCTCCTATTAGAATACTATCTCCAGGAGGGCCGGGATTGTGGCTCAATGGCACAGCACTTACCTCACACATATGAGGCACTAGGTTCCATCCTCAGCACCACATAAAAATAAATAAATAAAATAAAGGTATTGTGTTCACCTACAACTTTAAATAAAAGAATACCATCTCCAGCAAAGTAGAGACCAAATCTGTCTTATTCACAACCAAAGTTATAGATACTCACTTCAATTCAAGTACACTAAAAAG